ACCTCCTCAAAAACTCACGCGTCAAAGTCTGCAAAACGAGCGTTTCGCACGAGACTTCCTCCAAAAGTCAAGCGGAAACACCCATCGGAGCACACACATCACGCAGCCCTGCCAAGCAGTTTCGCGATTGCAGCCCCTCCAAACAACATCCGCTCACACGCCAATCCCAATGTGACAGCGACATTCACCTCTACCACAACTCACAACCTCACGATTCCCTGCGCCTGCCGCGAATCTTTCCCCATCCGCACGTCTAACGCGCACAAAGTACTGCGCCTGCCACGAAATGTCACCTCCCTCACACCTCGCAACCTCACGATTCCCTGCGCCTGCCACGAGAATCGCACTTCCACGCCTCAAAGCCCGCACAAAGTCCTGCGCCTGCCACGAAAAGTGACAATATCATCTCCTGTGAGCTTCAACAAAATTTGCACCACACCACACGTTTGGAATGATTTCGACCCATTCTGAGCACACTCCCATCCACCAAAATCGCCATTTCAGCTGAGACTTGTCACAAAAACCGAGCTTCGATGCCACACCCTGAAACGCAAATCCCAATGGCACGGCCACATCCAACACCCCAAAAACACGACTCTCCAAACGCTAATCCCAATGGAACTGCGCGGCAATCTGCGGATCTCACAAAACGCTGCGCCTGTGCAGCGAAATGCATCACGTTTCTTACGCGACATGTCGTTGTCATGCAAATCACAATGGAATAGCGTCGCAAACTGACACGTGATACGTCCATGAAAAGTCACTTGCAAAAGCTTCCCCCAATGGCAGCAAATTTGAGACGCGACGACGACGAGAGACGACGACAAACGACGAGACGACGCAAGCCACGCGAACACAGCTCCAACCCCCAGACCCCCAACTATAAACGGGAACCCTTCGCTACGCATTCGGGAAAAATGAAACCTGACCGAGTGTCCCGCAATTGGGGACATCAACATGTCCATCTGAGGGCCCCAAACCAATCGGCAATGCTTGATCTCCCTCAAGCGCATGTTGTTCCACTCCTGGCCGGAACGGACAGTCCGTCATCCGTTTGGGTGCTCGTTCTCGGCGAAATTTGCGGAAAATGCTCCTGTCATGGCCCAGAGAGATGTAAAGTGTAAAGTTAATAGAAAGTATATAGAAACTATATATATATTTGCTGGCTGAAACATCCGTTTGTTTTCTGCTCTATTCTTTCTGTAGCCCTTTTGAACATTGCTACAATATATTACAATATGATAGAGATCTTCTGCCAAGATTGGATGGAGTTTTGGAATGGTGGGTGAATGGTGCTCTGCATGGTGTGTCCATTTCCATCAGACTGGCACCAAACGGCACTGCAGTCGCCGCAGTTGCTGCCATTTCCCTCTGAATATTTTATCTTCACATGGCCGCATCTGTATGCATGCCATCATTGTCCCAATCGATATGATCATGTAATGTTATATAGTTATATAGATGACCTTCTTTATTCTGCATGTACGTACTTCTTGGCTTCCGCTTCCCTGAACATGCAGCCTCCACCGTTTTGGGACCAGGCAGTGGCCTCAGTGGTGTAGTTGGCGCTGAAGGTGGGGCCGAACCACTTGGGCCGCTTGGAGCTCATTGGGGCGGTGGGGTTCCAGCCTCGGCCCACGCGCCGCAGACAAAGTGGGATGAGTGAGACAGGCAGAAAATCATATTATAGTGTTCCATGAAGTTCCATGTCCTAGGAGCACAATGGATGGACTATAGGGCGTGACACAGGTCCAAAGGAACACCACACTATTTGGGAGACCGCTTTCAAGAAACATGAACATGGTGGGAAAAAAGATTGCACTGTTGGACTTCAACATGCACTACACAAAAATGTGCTGCAAACAAACCATGGGCATCCATGGGCGCTCCAAAAGTCAATTGATTCCACTACCTCGGCTGTTAGAAACGACACGTCCCCGTTCTGAATCACTGCGTTGGCTGCAGCGATTTAACCGTCGATGGACCCAGCGTCCTGCAGCAACTTCTGCTACCGTCGCGAAACCCAGCAAGATCCAACCAACCAACTCAAAAACGATGGTTTGTCCTTGAGTCAACTACAAGTAACTCTTTAACTTTGAGAGCGGGTAGTCATGGGGGGTGGGGTTGTGAAAGTTGTGCTTTTGTAAGGTTTTTCTTTCTTTTTGCAGATGATTTGCAAATGATATGACATTGATAGGGTTGTGAAAGTTGTTCTTTTGCAAGGTGTTGCTCTTTTTGGTGATGATATCACACTGATAGGATTGTAAAATTTGTGTTTTTTTTCTCTATGTGCAGTTTAAGAATATTTATTCATTCAACATCATTCAAACATATATACTGCAAAAATGTCTAAATCCATAAGGTTCGGTATTTACTAAAAAGCTTTTGATGTAATAATCTAATTCCACGCAGCCCCCATGCAAAACCATATTTCTTGCTTTTAGAGTGAGAATTGCATTGTTCTTATTGAATGCAATTGGGTAAGTACATCAGAATCAGGAAGCAAATAATTACAAACCCTAAATAACCAAATTCCAAAAAAAACGTATTCAATTCAAATTAATTTTTAAATTAAGATTTGACTCTATTTCAATTATGGCTCAATTCTATGTTGATTCAATTTGTCTTCACTATAGATTCAAATTTATTTGGGATTCAATGCAAGCCAAATTTTAATTTGATTTCAAACTACTGTTCATTTCATTTCTATTCAATTCAGATTAAATTTTAATAGTTTATTCGTTTTCAAGTTAACTTTAATTTTATGAAATGCTCATTGCTTTGAGCATGAGAGATTTTTATGAAGTTTGTCCAACATGGATGCATTTGCTGTCTTACATGACATAAATTCACACCCCCAGCAACACCCACTCTCTAGAATGAAATCAAAACTCAATGAGAATTTCATTTGCATTGAACTGAAATCAAATTAAACCTAAACTAAACATATAGAAATCAAAATTAAATTGCAATGACAATAATATAAAATTAGATGTGTAAAACGATTGAATTTGAATTGTACAAAGGCATTAACATTAGAAATCACTTACAAATAAGTTTGAATAGGCCAAATTACAATTTAATCCAGAATAGAACGAAATAGAACTAAACTAGAATTATGTTGGAATTAAGTTGGAATTGAATGAACAACATTAAATCAAAATACATTACTTAAGTTGAAATTGATTTAGACCTAAGTAGAATTGAGTTAGAGTCGTTTAACCTAGGGCTTGGTTAGTAGAACAGTATTGACTTAGAATTAAATTGTAACTAAATTCATTTAGATTAAAATTGCAGACTCAATTTGAATTCAATTATATTGAATTAAAATTATGTTCAACTTAGAATTAAATTAGACGCATGTTGCAAATGCACATTTAAATTGAATTTAGATTTAACATTAGATCCAAAGTAATCAACCATAATTAGAATTACAATAGAATTAACTTAGAAGAAAAATTGAATTGAATTGACCATAATGAATTTTAAATACATAGACTTAATTTTAAGTTCAATTAGGCTCAACTTTCAAGTTAAAGTAGCAATATGTTACATACTCAAGTTAGATTCAATTTAAAGTTCACTTAGCCTCAAATTTGAATGTAAATAGAACTTGAAGTGAAGTTCAGTTAGAATAAGAATTGGCTTAACAATTAGTTAAACTATATTTAAGCCAAAATTCATAGAAGTAAATTAGAATTGAACTAGGGGTTAATTAGAAATGAATGATAAATAATGTTGGGCCACTTTTTGGCAGACTAGCCAAAACAAAAAAAGGTTCACACCCATGGAGGGGGACCCACGAGAGGCTGGACAGGAGACATAGGTCTGAACATATTGTTTTTTTGGGGGTTTCGGTTTTGGGCAGTGGTTGGTCTAAATGTATTGTTTTTTTCTTGGTGTGTCTATTGTTTTCAGAAGCTATTTTGCATTTACTATTGTTTACATATCACTATTCTCACAAAAAGCTGCGTTTCTACAATCTACACCACCACTCCACCCATGGCTACCCCTTCTGTTAACTGTTTAACCCGTCAACGACACCGGGACCTCCCGGAGAAAAAAAATACAAATGCCTTCCTTTTTGACCTAACGACCAATTCCAGGTCCTTGTCCGGACCAAAAGAATTCACCATTTGAGCACACTTCTGGCAGACTCCCAGGGCGCCGCAGTGGCTGTGAGTTTGGGAAACCGATAAGAACTCAACTCATGAGACAGCCGGATGTCATGAGGAATGCCACATGCATGTCCACCATGGAGGCCACATGTCCATGCATAAATTGACACCTGCCGTCACGAATTGAGCCGATTCCCTGCAAAAATCCGTAAGAATTGATCGTGAGACTTGATTTAAACAATATATACAAATATATATATATATATTGTTTTTATGTACTGTTTCGTTTGGAGCAATCGAGACCTTCGGTTTGGACCGATGCCGAATTCCCGCAACGAAGCGACCGACGGGAGGAGCGACCGAAGTTCCCACCGGGACCGACGGACATCGCCGATCGTCGTGTCGTTTGGCCGAAGAGCCGAGGTCGCCAGGGGCCACGCCCTCCTGGGTGGAGCAAGTCATGGAAGAGGTAGCCCAGGATCACGATTTGTGAGCAATAATTCATAATTCTGTAACATATGACTCATATTGCTCAAGAATGGGCATGGATGGGGATGGGAATAACAATGCATACAGTAACATTGAGTCAGAAGTAGCATCTATACTACTACCATGTGAAGATCTTGCCGAGAAAGTGCTGTAGATTGACAGGGTCAGTGGTTTTGCTTCAAACCTCTTCAAAGCCCACCCCTCCAGCCAAAAACGCAGTTTGTTGTGTTGGGACACCAAAATTTCCCGCAAATGGTCAACGCCTCCACCTGGAAAAAGCATGGGAAACCTCACATTGTTGGTCAACTTAGACAACGGACCGGCCATTCTTTGCAGCACACGCTGGCAGCTGAGGGATTAGCTGAGGGATTCACAGCAAACACCTGGATCTGACACCACGCCAAGGAGCACCGTACTTGCTGATGACATTCCTCAGCCAGAACCCTCGCCCGAATCACGGAGTTGAGTCCATGATCCATTGAACGTCCATGAATGTCAATGCTCCAGTTCGCCCAACTGGAGTCCAAAATGGTCCGAAGAACCTACGTATGTTGCAGGGCACGAGGTGGGGAACAGTTGCACTCAGGGAGCCCCTGGGCCGCCGCAAGGCCCATTACTACAGACTGCAGTCACAACTGCCAGGATTCAAGGGGGAATAAAGAGAAATGCGACATTTGAGCCGAGGGTGACTACAGTACATAGATGCACATAGTCATAGCGTATACATACATATATAATTGATGTATATTGAACTCGCTGTTATAATCTGCTTCATTGCTTGGTCAGCACTTGATCTTCAGTTCGCCAGGATCCTAGGACCTTTCGATGAGTATGTCATGTCTCTTCATTCTTCTGTCCTGGCTTCCCCAAAAAGACCTTAGGAGGGAGGCTGTTTGCGTCTCACAAGACCCAAAGGCTCAAGATTGTCTGGTTCAGCAACATCGTGAGTCTTGAGGATGCCCAATGTTAGATCTCTTCATTTAAAAAGATGTCCCAAGTCATGTTCGAGAAATCCAGGACCTCTTCCTGCAGGATTGAATCCGTGCATCATCATATATTGCCGATCCAACTGGAGTCATGCAACATTCCACAGCACCTCGACAGGTAGGGCAACACAGTCCAGTAGTCAGTCACGCGAGCTGGTTATATTCAAAAGTTGTGCTGCGACTGGAGTTCCAAATGGCCATAGACCAGAAAACAACAACTGCACTCCCCAAGGCCCCCCAACAATGGCAATATCACCTGCACCCCCCAACAACTTGATTTCTGCCCACACCCACCGCGGGGTCAGCTCCCAAACAGTGGTCACTTTGGGAGCCCAGCGGTCACCTTCCATCCTCCGATATGGCGTTTTCCGCACCGAGCAGCTCGTAGCGCCAAAGCTCGGAGAGGGCGATCACTACGATGATCTGCAGCCAGCCCACGATGGGCACCTGAAGATCAAGGAGAAGTCCGAGGACTTGGCCACATCGTGAGTCCTAGAAGCGTTTTTGTTTCGCTGGATTGGATGGAAAATGACCGATACAGTTGGCAACTTACTTGGATAAGGATGGATAAGGGGTAGAAGTAACGTAACCGGTTGTTGATCCACGAGTATCTTGCATTCAGTATTCATCAACCAAGCCTTGCACGTACCAGCAGCATGAACCAACAGCTTCAAGTGCTCAAGAATGAAACGCAAAAAATAAATAGGCTGGTGTCAGCTTGATAGGCGGCATAGAGCATAGTGCATGCTCCCGTTCACGTTCGGGGCCAAGCTCCCCCATGGTTTCAAGCACCAACAGCCGGTGCCTTGGTTTCCAGGCTTTCTGGGAACTCACATTCAACATCATTCAACCATCTCAGCTTGCCCACCTCCCAGGTTCGCATGGTGACCCCGTGTGGTCCCCCCCGCACCTGAGTGGCCGCCTTCAGCGGGTCGGAGGAGTCAGTCGGGTAGCGAGTGATGAAAGGCTCGAACCTGGGGGGCGCCAGCGGAACCGGTCCGGGTGGACGTGTGTCGTGTTGGGGCCGGTCCTCTTCTTCTTGGAAGGGGAGCTTTCTTTTTGGAAAAAGGTACACACACAAATGGATTATTTGGGTAGAAAAATGGAGGTTCAATGTCAAATATACACATGGGGGGGGGGTTCATTTTGATCTGGATGTGCGGAGCACTGTATGATACTATACGATTCTCGTAGGAAACCAAGATCCTCCACAATAGACCTGTGGCCGTTGGACATGTTCTAGCAACTCGCCGGTCAAAGTTACACACTGATCAGTTCGTTATCGTCTCCGTTCTTTGATGGACAGCAACAATCAGCAAAAGGGAATCTGAAGATCGGACTGTTGGCAATTGTCATCCAATCTTCAATTGGTGGATATTGTTGGATACCATGGGGGACCATGTTCAAGACACAGATTGGGATTGGTTTTGATTGGGGTATTTTTTGACCTATATATGCTCTGCAGACTGCAGAATATCACATTATGCAGAGGATCAACATCAATCAGGCATTGTCTACGGGGTTGTTTTGCATTCACATGCATTCACTGTTTCACTCTGTAACGGACATGAGCGGGAATACCAAGAAACATGAAATCATAAAGACATTTATGCTGCTACACTTGGGTTTGTCACTGGTTTGTCTTGTCTGATTGATGTACAGTAGTTTCCCTTTCCCAGTGGTTTCTGCAGTTTCTACCTGGACGCCCTCCCGCCAAGCGCCTTTCACTGGTTGCTTAGGGCGCCCGGCTTGGCACCGCTGGTCTGGACGGTGTAGCCCAAGGTCTTGGAAATTTGAGGAAAAACTAACCCGACCTAGTAGCGTCCTTGCTCCTAGTAGTAAGGCCAGGAGCCCCTAGTAGCTTCTTGTTACTAGTAGCAAGAATGCTCCTAGTTGCCGTCATGCCAGTTCTTGGATGGTTTCATTTTTGATCAGAAATGTGTCTGATCTACGAATCAACGTGATCTAGTTCCTTTGGTGGTCAAAGTGATCAATGGCCCTACATACCCAGGCAGGCCCGTTGGGCCACGCGAAAGCACCACAGTGCTGCGGTCGAAGTCGGACGTAAGATGAATCTTTTGGACGCCCACTCTGGAGCAAGGATCCTGGGTGAGATCACCTTTCATCTGTAATGAAGTCCTTTTAAACTATAGTGAACTTTGACCGAATCACCCGAATCACACCTGCAGTAGAGCAATGCTGGAATTACAATACGAAACCTCGTGGGTCTTGTTTGGAGACCAGGTTTACCATATTGTGGTCTACCTTGTCCGGGCGACCAGAAGCGTCACTTACCACTGGAAAAGCCAACATCCCAGCGCCCATGAGCGCCCGAGGTCCACTCCATTCACATCCCTTAGAAGTCCCAACCTTTTTTGAGGCTACAAATCCCCATATGAGGATGGAGAACCTAGAACTCTGATCCACCAGCCCTTCCATTGCAATCGACATTCGGCTGAGTGCCGCACTGCCAACATGCAAACGCGTCCATGCGCCAACTCGGCCTCACGGTACCTCGCAACGGGACCACTCGAATCTTGGCACAGCACAACCACTGACAGGGATTAGAACTCTTCCAGCATAACATGGCATAACTCCCAAACAGTTTCAGTGTGTTTTTGGCGTCAAGTCCTTGAACTCCAATGTTGGTGGTAATATCTGTATATATTGGGAATGGCGTGCAAAATGTTAGAAAAACACAATAGTTTCTGATTCCTGGGGTCACATGTGCAAACACGAAGGGATGATAATGATGATAGCCACACGAAAAACATACCCGATACCGATACCCGGACAAGGCGGTGGAGAAAGGAACAACTGGGTGCCCAAGCAGGGGATAAGGCTGGGACAAGGCGGTGATAAAAGGGCCGACAACGGACAAGCAAGACAGACACACCCAGACAAGCATGGGACAAGACGAGTCGGCGCGGCCAACAGACCTAGACAAGGACAAGGCTCGGAAACTGTTTGGGGAACACGAAGAGGACACTTAAAAGGAGGACACAGGGTTCGCCAGCGGGCACGGCCAAAGGACAGTGGGACACCAAGAGGACAAGAGGAGGCCAGAGACTGTGGCCTTTTCCTGACAAAGAACCCAACAGTAATTACACTCTTAGGGGAAAAACACACTGACAAAACATGGCTGTAGCGTTTTGAAGGACAAAGTCGCCCAATTAAGGGTGTTTTAGTGAGTGAGACATTGGTTGTTTTCAGTTTCAATGATTCATGGGTTTGCGCTTAGGAAGAGATAGATGAAGAAACACTGGCTCAAGGTCGGGTCGTCCAGTCGGGTCGTCTACACAGGATCGATGGCTTTTCACAGCTCAAGGTCCTCACATTCCAAGTCTCCTCGCTGCTTCTTGGCTCCCAGTAACTGCACAAACCCAGTCTAAAAGCCACTGCGTCACAAGGTTGAACTCCTGTAAGCCATGGTCAGTAAAATGGTCTTAGTCCATAGCGACCAGGCCTACGTCTTGCTGTCTCCAAGTGTCCATCCAGACTTCCTGTTGGATCGACAAGAGGATGGACAAGTCGCCAGCGTCAGGATCAGTGTCGTCCGCCCCAAACACCGGAAAGATTGAAGAACTTACGAAGTTGGTCTCATCCAAAACAGAAACATTTGCAACCTTTCGCTTCGGACAATCAGAGTGGACTTCCATCCAAAATCACAATAAAGCTGAAGCGAAATTGAAGCTGACTCAGACTCTATTGAGAGGCAAATTCCCTTTATCTCGGTGAGTGTCACCACAGCGATTATTTAAACTAATGCTGTCGCAGAAAGGAAACTTCGGTCTTCCCAGACACACAGATGCGTGGTGACAGGAAGGCCATGGGCAGGTCACCAAGGAAAGTGAACATGTGATGTCAAAGCGTCAAGAGTTCTTGCACTCCAAAGAAATCACTTGCGCCAAGCCCATATGTTCTTGCTTGAGGATTGAATTGCCCATGCATAGTCGAAGCATTGTTATGAGTTATGATTGAATGATATAATTCAATGCATTCTAGATCATTCTAGTGTACAATGCGCGGGTGGGGAGGCATTGGGAGTAATGACTTGACTCGTCGATTTCCAGAATTCAGTCACTACATAGTCACTACTTACTCATCTGCCGCTCTGGCTGGCTTTGCGGCTGGCTTTGCTCGCTAGCCTGTAGCCTCGACCTCTTAACACTACGTTTCCGCGCTTCGGTCCTGCTAAACGAAAGAGACTTAGGTTTAAACCGATCGGAACGAAAGGTTAAGCCGATCATACAGGTGGCAAAAGACTGAATGTTTACAAGATTTTACAAGTTATTGTATATATATATATATATGTTGTTATACTGTACAAACCCCGAAATAGATACTGTAGAAAAGTAGATCCCCATGAATTAAGAATGTCTTGGAACCCGTGCTCACTATCTATTTGGGGGTCACTATATATAATATATATATACAGCAAAAAAGCTTTCAACCGATCGGAACGACTCAACTCCTGGCTCCAAATTGGGTTCCTCCCGACGGCCCAACGGCACCGCAACGCTTTGGCTTCCCCGGCATACAAAACCATGCATGGTGTTTGCTATGTTTGGCCATCTGCATATTTGCTATGTTGGCTCGGTGGGCGAAGATCTGAAAGATACAGCGACACCGCACCGGTCGGACCTATGCAGCTCAGCCTGACCCAGTGGGTGGTTTTTGTGCAGCGCCCAGTCGTTCTTCCCATAGAAAGCGCTGCGCACCTTGAAAAAACCTGGTTTGGATCGTCGCTACTGCCTACAATCACTGCAATCCATACATTGCCCATCTCACATTCACAGAGAAAAAATATGGCGCACCAAGGGAGCAGGCGTGCGTTCTTCGCCTTGGCGGGTGGACGCTGAGGCCTGGGAAAGATCCACCGCTGCACCCCCTTATTATCACATGCTACTTGTGCCACATAGAGGGATGTCGTCATCGTCAAAAGAAGATCTGTGCTGCGCTAGTTTCAGGAGGATAAACATCGACAGCTACGCAATCCGGTGCCCAGAACCTGTCGATCTTCAATTCGGTGTGCAAAGGGGGCAACGACATTCAAGATAACTGTTCCATATTCAATGGCCTCTGAGTCGGGCCCTCGGCCCTCGCTATCGGATAGCGGTATGCTATCGGTGGTGTTCCGCTTCTGCTCCCTCAAGGTTTCAATGTATGTCACACGGCTTCTATAATTGTGTCCCACCTAGTATTAGTAGTATAATCATATGCCTTATCGACAATCATCCCCCTTTCGCTGCTTCACTTTCCAACTCTTTCAAAAGAACAAACCTGATTGACAGTCGCACCTTGCTTTTTGCCGTCTAACATCTCCGGAACACCTAACTTGCTTTTTGGAGGGATGATTCCACTCCAAATCCACTCCGCTGGATGCGGCCTTTCATCTTTTGTCAACTGGCCGCATCCAGCGGAACGCGCCCATTTCTCCACATCGGCTCGGCGGCCGACGAAGCCAGCAGGGTCGAAGCCCACATCACCGACGTAGGGGCCGAAGAGGTCATTGGAGAGGCCCTGCCCCGACGGCGGGACGGACGCATTCACGCCACCCGTGGCGGTAGTTCCAAACTGTGGAGGGAAAGAAACACTTTGTATATGACTATACAATCTATACAGAATTTATTAGTTCAGGGTTGTGCCGTTGTCATTTTTTAGGGTTGGAACATAAGTTGGCACATCAAGGACACCAAGGCGGTATCGATTCTTTGGACGCCTATCATTTCCCAAGGACAACTGAAAATCACAATTGGAAGTGAATGAATTGACTGATAATGACGGGAAGTTCAGGGAATCAACAAATACCGTGGAGAATCTGATATGTTCACTGAGCACTACAAGCACCAACAACCTCTGCCCCAACCACGGTCGGTCCGCCCAGGTCCGCGCATCTCCGTTCGATTCGCCACAGTGGGCGCCACCCCGCGGGCGCCTCAGGCACCTTCTCCCAAGGGATGGCCTCCGAGTTGCCACCCGCCGCCCTGGGAGGCGAAATCTACCCGGAGGTGGAGAGAGAAGTGGACCATTGATGGTGGCTGAAGTGGATGTGATTGGATGATTGGGGTGGTCAGTAGTTAGAATGTACATCAATCATGATACTGGGGCTCCAATACTGTGACAGTGCTTATCAGGTGCCACTCGTCGATGGGTGCCAATACAATCATGAGCTTCGATCAAATTTAGCAACCCTCTAATTCATCTCCGATTCAGTTGTCAGTAGAAAGTGAGAAATAAATAGAAATAGTTGCAAATTACATAACAACAGTGATTGGAAGTGGCATGAACTGGCTGCCAAAATGACCTACTCTAGTGACACCTATTGAGATCTTCTGGGCTGATCTGAGAGGTGATGGAATAAGTTCGTGATCCTCATGTGGATCCGTCTCAAACACGAAGGGAATCCACCATCTAGGACCTGCTCGGCCTGAAAAGGGACACAGCCGCCTGCAAAAGAACGAGTGGACAGTGGACTCCAAAACGAGTGGGGTTACAAGTCGAGCCGTGTCGTCGTTGGTTTCAGGATCCATGAGCCAGGATGTGTCCACCGAGGCAAGGCCATGTGCTGCTGATCACTGATCTTTCCACCGATGTCAATTGATAGCCCCCACCGGCCGAGTGTGTCGTTTTCAGAGTGCTGGCCGAGTGGTGCAAGGCTCACTACTAAATACAACAAATCCCTGAGAAAACCTTCAAAAGGAAAGTGAAGGCAAAAGGAGTTCCCTTCCCTTTCTCTTTCAAGTTCGAATTCGAAAGAAATTAAATTAAACTAATGGTCCACCCATGTAACTCCTTTTCCTATGTGTCCTTCCCTTGGATTTCAAAACGAGGTCAAACGGCCACAAACAGCTGTCGCATAAAAAGGAACACGTTCTCCACAGTCTCCAAGTTCCACCGGATGGCACCTATGGTCGCCCCACTGGAAGGCACCACCAGCCGGACTTTCTGTGTCCCCCTGAGTGTTCCACCCGCTGAAGAAGAAGTCGGACTTGGCGCGCCTGATCGATTGATCGCAGTTGGTCACAGTCTCAGATCGGTTTGTTCACCAAGAGTCGACATGATCGATTCTCCGGTTTCATCTGAGATCTGGCTCCATGTATCAGAGGTATACCTCTGATGCTCTCTTTTTCCTTTGAGTACAATGAATGATTGATGGTGGACAGGTTGGGTGATCCAGCAAGAGGGACTATACAGTGGTGGATATTTCTTGTTGCCAAGCTCAGCTATTCTTTCATTTCAAACAACTCCTATCTTGTTTGGATTACTGCTTAAACAGTTGTTAAAATATATTTAAATTATATATATATATCAAATCATAATGGTCATGGTGTAGGTATCTATAAAGATTTGTATTTTGACTTAAGGTGATGTCTCAAATAAGCTTTTAGCATGGACTGAAGTGGACGTGATCAATGAAGGTATATCATCTCTTCTCAAAAGGCCCTTTCAAAGTAACATCCCGAGATCTGCAAAAAGCATGGCTTTACATTTCTGGACTGTTGCTGGGTGGCCAATGAAATACATTTGGAGGCCATGCAAAAAAGAACGGAAACCTGGGCTCTGAGCTGTGGATCAAACATTTGTTTGATCCGCTAGCACCCCAAAATGTCCTGAAAAAATGGTGGTCCATATAAACCTCCAAACTTGGGGATTGTGCAATTTAATTACGCTCAATCCGCTATAGCTTCTTTCAAGACTAACAACACATGCAGAGTGCCAGCGCACAAGTTCAGCACGTGCAGAGTGCTAAGCGTGCCGCAACGCGAGTGCTAAGCCAACGAAGTATGAGACCGTTCCCCCTATATTTTTACTAATAACAGTTAAAAGTTAGTATAATAGCACTGGCAAAATCCCCCAACAGTCTCCCATATATAAAAGACACCTTTGGGTTTGTTCTATCTATTCTGACTCTGAAACCAATATGAAGGAAACCGAAACTCAACCTACAGTTTTGAACCTGCAGTCCTGAACGGACATGATCCCAGTCCCAAACAGGTACCAAGTTCCAATGGCACAATATTGAAACTTCTGGTTTTCCTACAGAATGCCATTCCCTCTTCCAGCAGCCAAGATTCATGGCCACTTGATCCCCGCGCTCCTGCTGCAAATCGCCGGATTCGCAGGCACCCTGCAGCTCGCTGCTAAGACCCACAGCTTTGGGCTCCCCATTGAGCCTCTGACCTCTGACAAACTTGATTTTGCAGAATAAAACGTCGCAGATCATGTACTTTGTGCATTCAATTGGAATTCCATTCAATTAATGTAATGTAGTTTAATTGATCTTGATTCAGCATGATTCGGCAACTTCTCATGTCTCAGCTGCTGATTTAGAGACAGCTCGCTCCAAACATGCATGTGGTCTTCAAGATTGACCCTGTGGCGTCTGTTGAAAGGGTACCTCTTCCCAATATCTGCAGTGTGCAAAGAGTTTGCTCTTGTCATTAGATCAAACATCTAAAAAGGCCTCCTTGTCCAATACGAAAGGTGAATCAAATGAAAACTGAACCCTGGATCACTCGGTGCCCATCCAATCCTCAGCCCCAACCCTTCAAGTCCATTTCAAGTCCTTCTGGGCATAGCCGCCGATGAAGGGGTTCAGGTTTCCTGTGAACATGCGCGAACATGCCGGGCGACCCGGCATCAAACATTGATTCAAGGAATGGGTCATCCAAATCGATACTATGGACCCGGCACCGGCGAGGTTTTCAGTGCCGGTGGGATTGGGTGAACCGGTGTGGTTTGTGGGGTGCGATCGGCTCAGCCTTCTTAGCCCTGCAACAGCTCCCTGGAACAGCTCAAGTTCCCTGTAACAGGGACATCCCTGTAACATCTGTCCATCACAGTTCATCCAAGTCCATCCCCATGTGACCAAGTTCGCCTGTGGTGAACTGCTCCACCAAGGACTGCCCCGTGGCGCCGTTCTGCGCCACGATCGCGGCCATTGCCACCATGGCCTTGGCGGCTTTAAGATCAAAAGCTCAGGTAAATGTGTCTCAAATTTGAACTGTTGAACCGCGAAAAAAAAAAAAAAAGGAAAACACACATTACATGCAAGCCACTATGCAAGCCCTTTTCAAAGACGCTTGATCCATCCTCTCCTAAATATAAGGATCGGCCTATCGAATCCTGTCAAGATAGACTGCCAACCAGGGCGATAAGACAGTCAGTGAATTGTGAGGTATTTCATTGACACATCAAGCGCTGTGATCGGACGTCGAAGGTGGATCCCAGGGCTTCAAGGCTTCAAGCTCCAGGGTGAGGCACTCCCAAAGCAACAAAAACAGTGCCAAAGAGGTCTCGGAACAAAACACATGCGACTACGAAATGGGATGCATATTGCTTCATCTTGGACTGTGTGGATGTTAATTGTTGAGCGATCCACCCCATGTGTTCCTGATCTATACTTGTACTGCACTTTCGATGACCTTTACTGCACATACCTTTACAGTTTATTTGGCTAATAGCAAATCAACTTGCGGCAAAGCCTCCACCCAACAAAACACCCTTTTTTAGGCACGATGCCAAGCGCCCGTTGTTGATCTCTGCGAGCAACTTCTTCTGCTTCTCCTGGAGGCTTTCGTGATCATGGATGGGTTTGGATGGATCTGATGGGCACAAATTAAATGGGATTCCAACGATACCTTAGCCTTAGCGAACTCTTTTTGGCGATCATGGTCTACGATGTCACTATGGTCCGGTGTTTCTTGTTTTGTCTATGTCTGTATGCAGTTTGGCTCATCAATAGTGGGGATATCCCCAGGTCTGATACTCTCACAACTCTCAAAAAAGGGACCATGGTCCTGCTTCAGAATGCACTAGATCGTTTTGGGTCTGGAGTTCCAGAGGAGTTCGACCGTGCCGCCCTGCAGCACCAGGTGCCCCCTGCCTCTGGCTCCAGCTTGTCGATCTGCCCCCAGAACGGTGGGTAGCCGTAGTTCGTGGGGAAGGCCAAGTTCTTCGCCTCACGGAGAAGAAAAATGGGTCGCGGATCGCGGATTTTCAGAAACCGGTGATGCATCGGGTTTAGCACTTGGCACAGCTGATGACTTTTTGAGGAAGGATGACTTTTCAGTTGATGTCCTGGGTTTGAGGAGGCCATGGACTGCTTGGTATCAGGAAAGGCTGAAGTTGATTGAAGGCACACTTCACCACCGTGTTCTCTGAAACCTCTGCCTTTGGTGAATCACAAAGTCCGCAATGAGCCCCCGGCAACCCCTGTACTCTCAACTACTCGTTCTGCAGTATACCTTGTGCATTTTCTGACTAGCCATAGATTTGGCTCAAATTGCTCTCAACCCCCATATGGACCACCACTTGGGATTTGAGCCAAAGTCCGGAAACATGTCTAGGCTTTGGCGAGGAGCGGATAAAAGCGGTTCGGGTGATGTTGGCACCTGCCAATGAAGAAATGAGTATGCCTCAAAATGAAAACACATGGGCCACCCAAGCAAGGCATCAACTCTAAAGCACCTTTACTTATCCTTCCAACATCTCTGATTGGGGTCTGTTTTGGTGCCTTAACACATAGGAGGAAACAAGAAGTGGAAACCACAACTTTGACACATTGAAGCAAACCATCGTCTGGTATGACACCGTGGGTTGAGGTATGCAATGGAGATCCACCACATTCCACAACCACGTAGTCCTGTCCTGCCTAGCCCCAAACGGTCCAAAGATGGTCTTTCGTTGCATCCACAACCAAATCTCGGTGTTTTTCTGAATTCTGGTCAGTGTAAGTTAAACATATCATTTAAACAAGCTCCCCCCGCACAAAAAATGCAGATTATTGGGATCATGATTTCAAGATTGGCATGGGCAATCCGAAACTGACCACCCTGTCGCGCCGGTCTCCGCGACTCTCTGATCTCGTTTTTCTTGAGTCGTAGCAGGTCTCAGCCTCGATGGCGCCCGCCAGGGCGAAGACCTGGAGCCATCCGGCCGCCGGGACCTTGTAGATGGCCTGCAGAAAGCTCGTGTCCGACGCAGAACTCGCTGCGTCCCACGCTATACTGAGCGATTTGACGGTGCATGAGGTTCCAGAACTCAGATAGGGATGGGTCGTGGCCCAGTGCCCCGTCGGTCTCCTGGTGCCATGACCGCCACTTGCATAGATCCATGGATGTTTGACCAGCACAGTGCGTTCCCCCCCCAACACATCGATCATCCGGGATCCTTCGGATCATCATGTTGATCTTGACTGAATAGATTTGGTTTTCGGAAAGCTGGCACCTCTTTCCAGCGCAAGAAGGTCGACCTGCTTTGTAGTTGCCTTGCTGGTCTAGCCTCTTGCAGGCGATCTGCAGTTGAAGATTCAAATGATTAAAAACACTTGGAGAACACCTGCCATCTCACAGCCAGCCCCAAAACATGTCAAGCATCATCGCACATCCCCAGCCATAACTGCTCCATACTGCTCCATGTGTTTTGAGCAACCCTCCTACCATCCTACCACCCAACCACAAAGGCCCACCTCGATGGTGCATGGGATGTCCGAGAACTTCCTGGGTGGACACGGCCGGGCCACCGTGGCCGCAGCTTTGAAAACAGCGCAGTGTTAACCCCGTTTTTGGGTTTGCGGTTCCCGAGAAACAGCCTGTAAGAACCATTAAGAACCTGTATAATATTGTATAATCCGATATATAATAATCCTATATATATATATATTGTAGTGATTTGTAGTGGAACTTATGTGGAGCCTTCCTGGTTGTTGGATTATACAGTGAATCAATGTCTGTGCAGGATATACAGAAGTTCTCTCTGTCAAACAAGAAACAAACACCTCCAGGATTCCGCGGATTGACTTTTGTTGACCTCTACCAAACAAAGTGTTGGGCTCCAGATTCTTGACCCAATGACTTCCCAACTGACGAACAACAACGCCCTGTCATGGCAAGCATGCTGCACTCTGACAGACCTGGTCCTGAGACGCGGAATTCCGCGTCTAACACCCCCATCAAAAGAACTAAGATCAGTAGGTGAGTTGCGTCGTGATATGTCAATTTGGACGATTCTGGACTGCGGTTTCATAACCGTGGACCACAATACCTCAAGCCGCCCCCACAATACCTTACCACCGTGGACCCGGTGCATCTCACTGGATCTCACTGACGACTGGTTGTGCCGTGTTGAACAAAATCACGGCTAGCCAATGGGCCAAGACGAGGCGTCTGTTCTCAACATGCAATTGTCCGCAACTTCACAACTTCATCCCTGAAAAGCCATCGTCATTCCTTCAGCTCTCAGCTCTAACACAACTCTGCCCCTTGAAAAATCACCTTCAGGAACTTGCCCACAACTGCTAGGCCGTGAAACGCCCTGACCCATCCACTGCACCATCTCCGTTACACTCACGGTCCGTCAACCCTGATCCAGAGTCGAGGCCAAGAGTCAGGCCCATGGAGGGCGACAGGTCTCCTCCGAAGCGACCAAAGAGGTCGGGCACGATCATTCCAATGGTGGCCACCATGCCTCAGCAGAGCATCCGGAGATTCATGCAAATCCCTCAGGATGTGTATTGTTTTGAAGCGTCAGCAGCGCGTGTTCGTGGCTTTGGTGCCCCAAAGAGTGTACATCGGTTTGGTTACTGTAGCGCGTGCAGCGTGTGCTCCACATGTGAACTTTGCGAATTGTTGATCTTGAGGGAAGCGAATGTGTGTTCCAACAAATAGGAAGCAAATACACACATACTCTCCGGCACCCTTAGGCCGGGCCTTGGTACATTCAAGTCACCGTCTGTGTCTCACAAAAGTGTATAGTTTTGATAAGGCTGTTGTTCTGTCGTCGCAGGAGTTCTATCTGCATTGTTGAGTGGAACTTGCAAACTAGGGGGTAGTATAATTATGTGGCGAAGAAGGATCTTAGTAACAAGAAGCTATTAGTAACAAGTGCCACGCTAGTAGTAACAGGTGCCTCACTAGTAGTAACAAGAAGCTAGCTTCTTTACTTATGTTACTAATAGCTTCTTTACGGTCTGATCGGATCAAAGCCTAGCGGCAGATCCGGCCATGCTTCAACTCCAGCTCGCGATTGCGGCGGAACTTCTCCTCATCCTCGGACGGAAAAGGAAGAAGTCGAAACATACGCCTGGAACTTCATCCTATTGAACGATGTTGTTTGAACATGATTGAAAGACTTTGTGGTTGAATCGTTACAGTCAGAGTCTTAATTACCGTCTGAGATCCTGGATGGGCTGAGTGTGTCTTACAGGAGGAGAGCCTGGATCATAGGGATGGAACCCAGCCTAGGAGCAACCTGGCTTTTCTCGTGCACTGTTTCCTAAAGGCAAGGAAACCTTGCGGATGTGGAGATTTGAGATGTGGAGACTAAGGGTGACCAGGAGTCTTGGCTTGCTGCATTTACTTCTGGGCTTTATGCAAAACGTGGCGTGCAAAGGATTCTGAACAGTCACAGGTTAAGCGTCTACTCCAGAAAGCCAAATGAGCAATTGCATCCGTGCAAAGCAATGCGAAACAAACGGCCAACATGATTCCAACATGTTTACAGGAAGCTCTGCAACATGTGGAGCCCTCCATCTGCCGCGAACAAAGGCGCCTGGAAGGCCATCATGCCGAAGGGATCCCAGTAGCCCAAAGGAGGGCAAGCACCCAGCTCCTGTCGATCGGAGAAGGCAGGTTGGAACAAAGCCAAGGTGTTAGTTACAAGTTTGGCAGGTTCGACTCATTCGACTGCTCGACCTTAAGCCATTTGGACACTGTTCGACCTCAAGGCACTCCGTGACGTTTTGTGTTTGTGTGTTTGCATTCCGAGTCACTGACCAACCACTGCACCTGTTTGTAGAGGAAAATGATCACCCAACGGACCATGTTCCACTTCCATGATTGTTCCAGGAAGTGTATAATGTGTTACAATTTCTCACCTACACACGTATGGGTGTAGGCACGGTGTCATAGGTCAAACATGCCCATCAGGGTCAGATTCTGATGATAAAATGTTGACACAAACACAACAACGGGGCACATTGACACTTTAGAGGTGAAACGAGTGGTGTGAAGTGGGGCTCTAAAACAACTGAATGCCATATATGAATATATGTCACCTGTAAGCTGTATGATTTGGTAGTCTTCATCATGGACATCCAATGGTCCAGCATCCGTTTGCAGCTTGTGCAAGCCTTCAGAAATCCCGTTTCTCAGCAACCCATTTCGCAGACCCATCGGAAAGGTCAATCCAACATGATCAAACCCCACAATCACTGGTGATTGGTGCCACTGGTGGTGGGGGAGCTTGGCAGCGCTGAAAAGCTTGGCAGCTTGGACGGTGAAGAGCCCCGTGCGTTCCCCAGTTGACCTACTTGGAGAAGGCTGTAGGACCATAATACTAATACTGAGATATAATATATATATATATTTATAATGTTCACATACATATACCCTGCTACTGGTATCAGAAGTGAAGTACATCAGCAAACCCTCTATGCTTACTGAGTTCAACAAGGAGTTCAGCACAAGACTTCTTTCGGTAGAGGTCTTCATGAAGGCTAGTCCAACATGATTTCTTGGATCCAAAAAAACATGCCAAACTACAAAGACTTGGATCCCAAACTCGGCTCTCTCTACTTCAATTTCCTACCGTAGGTCAGCAAATAGTACAAATCCTGAAAACAATAACTCAACACCTTTCGGACTCCCCAAAAAGCATCTACTGATTTCACTTATTCATTTATCATATATATATATATAACTATATATATATAACATTCTCCTGTTCCTTGAAACGGCCCCCTGGTGAAAGCTCCCACCGTTCTCGGGTTTCGACCACTGCTTCGGCGCCTTGGAGGCATCGAAGGCGAAGAATCCCTGGCCTGCGAAACGAAGAACGTGTCGCGTGTCACCGTTTTTTGGGCCAAGACAAGGAACATTCTTTTTGGCCAAAGAAGAACAAGATCTGCTTTCTTGGCCCAGAAAGCGCGGTGATTCTTTTTGTTGTGGTTTGTTCTCATGTCTTGTTCACCCCAGAAATCATTCATCCGTTCTTCCTGTTTCTTGCGGAAATAAAAACGAAGAAGAACAACTGGTGAATCAAGAAGTTCATACCTTGCTCGTGGGCTTGGATGGCTTAGAGTTGATGTTGATTCAACGACTTGGTTCTTCCTCTGAAAAGATCAACTGCCTTGGTTCAATTGCCTTTCCACATTTACTCCTTTCAGCTCTGAGCCCTTTGGAACCACAACGGGTCACCGGCACAGGACGCAAGTGTCAACTTACTTGTTCCAAACCTGAAGTCTACAATAGATCTACACGAAATGAGATGAGCCTTCTGTGTGCAGGCGGTCTACAAATGTCTACAGGCCAACCGCAGAACTCGACACAGAAATCGCAGCACCAAAGAAAGGGTTCCCCAAAAAGGGAACCAACCAGGTGCTTCACCGGATGTAGGTGAGACCAGGTACTTCCCCGTGCATTCATCAGGTGTTCTGTGCCAAAAACCTGGATCTTGTCCGCCATTTGGATGTGGAACTCTGGGAATCCTTCCTTCGAGTGCGTCTTCCTATATCTGAAAATCTCTTCGATGGACAGAGGAATATCCGCGGATGATGGTTTCTAGATTCTAATGGCATAAAATGCTTAACAACATGTTGGTGAGAAGGCCTCATTGCTCTTCAAAGGCCTATTTGCAGCTGCCCAGCAAGTCCAAAGGACGGGTTAAACTGGTGCGGTAGTGTAAAGGACGCATTTCACCTCCCAACTTCCAAGACCTAATTGTCACAAGTTTTTCACGGCCTCCCAAGCTTCCAGCTCCTATTTTGCTAAAGCACCGGTTAAACCGGTGCGTTACTAAAGAATCGGTTAAACTGGTGCGTTGACCCACTGGGCTGGATAGAAGTATTTTGCTTGGGGAAGTCAAGAAAGTATGATCACTTGTAAGAAAAAGTTTTATCCCTCTGAGTGATGGATGAACATAGACTATCCTGCGATATGAGCCATAGTTTCATGAAATAACTTCCAACATCTTCCAACTATATAACCCCAACAATCTGGACCACGTTCAACTGAATCACGTTCCGAACCATTCGGAAGGGCTATTACGGGAACCATTCCGTTCATGTTCTTAGGGCGCTTCGGGGTGACCGACTTGGCCGTTGGCTTCAGCCCTCCAGCCCTCGTCCCCCATGGGCCATCGTTGAAAGGCGAGATGTGGCCACTGGTGAGCTGCTCCACGGGCGACTGCCCAGTGAGGCCGTTCCTGCAAAGAAGCTTAGTGAAACGGTGCCACCTGCAGCGATCCCTGAGAAACACCCGTCATAAGCCTATAAATTAAATACATCATGATATGGCCATAGGGGGGAGCTGGGAGTAGGTGAACCGTCAAGTACTTTTGTGGGATACTGGGATACTCCGATTTTACTTGAGATCCAAGATACTCGCATCATCCACAGATTTCAAGCGGAACGAGGATATAAAAAACAGACGAAAGCGCCTCGCAAAGAGAAACGCGTTAAAGCGCTTGCCGTTTGGTCCAAAGCCCAAACAAAATGCAAATGGTTCTCCTCACAAAACCCGGAGTGAATGATGGTGACCACCGCGGGTCGATCTGGATCAATCCATGAAGGTCTCGATGCAGAAATCCCTCACGAGCTTTGTTCTGTTACAGGCAACACAAGTATATATGTAATATGTTCATCTTCCACTTAGTTTCGGTGCTTGAAAGAGTGTAAATCCCTCCGTTTCTGGGCACTTGGTGTTGTGCAATTCTTTAAAACATATACAGCGTGAGCCCACGTCAATGGATATTCCAGCTCCTAGGTTTACAGTAAATTGTTATTCTTGCCACTTTAAAGGTCCAACATAGTAATAGGGAAAGCTCCTTGTCTGTGCCAGTGACCCTTGTGAAAGATATGACCCCAACAATAGCTATCTGCAAAATCGAGTAAACAGTGAACCCTTGCAAATTATTTTGTTCATGAATATGTTGATCTTCTTGATTCTTAAGATATTGAACACCGTAAACTCGCATCTGCTGAAAACATTGAAAACATACCGAAAAAAACCGTTGGCTCCAAGCACCCCGACTGGATCAGCATGGCCGTCATGGCCACCATCGCCAAGCGCCCGTTGTTCAGCTCCGTGGTGAGCTTCAAGCGGCGCTCCGCAGGGTCCTCTAAAGCGGGATCGACGATGCTACGGCAGTTGAATGGACACAAGTGAACCACTAACAAACGATCCTTTATGACTCATGAACTTTATGATGTTTGTGTTGTATAATTCAATGAGTAAATTTATGGACCATTCATCTTGCAGGTCTGGCACCTAGCGGTCTCGAATCGATCCGGCACCACCGATCGGCACGCTCGGTGCCTGGATCTTGCGGCCCCAGTAACCGGTGCCGAAGTTGCCAGGCTCACCTCACGACGTTGGACGAAAAGCAACCAGAATTGATTTCCCAAAACAATGTTTATACGTATATATATATATATCATATAATATCATATATATATATAGTTGATACTTATATATATTGATTTCTTTTTTCGCCCATCCCTGCACCCTTGCCGCAGGAGAAAACTCCCCAAATGAAAGAAACGAAAGCTACATGTTTCAGTCCCCGCCGGTAGGAAAAGGGGGTGGGGATGCGAGCCAGCTGAAGGGTGGGAAAACAAGAACTGTTTCGGTGCAACATGTTGTGTTGAAGCGAGCGACGTCCACGGAACTTGCGCACGATTGATCTGTTGGTGGTACAAAATGCCGTTGGGACCGGCAAGTGAAGCACGTCGTGCTGGCAAAAAAACACACGGGACCAAGGTCTCCAAGGACTGGCGCCCTTGTTACCCATGTGTGGTGCCGAGAATGGTCATTGCAGTGTGCCTGCCTGAAGAAAAAGGGCTGCCCTGGTGTCTCAGCCTCCAGCTTCAAGGTGACCCCGGTAAGGGTTTGAAAAGCACAGCAGTGGATTGGAGAACTTCGTGTCACCGACACCCTGTAGAAGCTGAAGCAATACAGCTGAGGATGGCACGCATAATAGCTTGGGAGAGTACGGATCACAATTCACTGGCCAGGGCTAATATGAAGAACAGCTGGGATGATGCTAAATTCCTCTGGCAAAAGTGCACGCTATATCGCCATCTATCGCCCAGAAGTGGGCGCGTTCTCCCTGTAGATGTGCACAGTCAGGGCATTGGATGTGCTGGAGCAACCGGTGCAAAGGCCCACTTCAGCGCTGTCAAAATGTTCCAAGTCGCTGTGCTGTTTGCTGGACATGGAGACTGGGTGAGACTACTCATCAAAATGGGAGTAGCTGGGCCGCTGGGATGTGCTTGTCACATTCAGGGCCAATTGATGTCAATGGCACCGATGCCAATGCTGTGCGTACTGCCACACGCGAGTTCCACAGCCGCCCGTGACGAACAAGTCCTCGAAAGTCACGGGGAGAGTGTGAGCCCCGCCACAGCCCCGTCAGAAGGATCTCATCTAATCCAGCCCTGTGGGCTGCTGGTCAGCCTCAATGCCACTCGCTCACACTTGGCGCATCCGGTCGCCAGTTCACCGTCAGCAAGACTGTAAGCGAGGGAAAGGTCCTAAGGTAGCAAAATTCCTTGACAGGTAAGTTCCGTCCAGATGAGCGGTGTAAGGACTTCCTCACTGTCACTACCCTCGTCTCTCAGAAATTGAGTCATCCTTGATTACGAAGAAGCCAACGGCCTGACAATAAGACCCTGAGCACCCTCACTGACTTGGGGCCCCCTGCTCTTGGCCTGGCGGTTGACCTCTTGTAACCCCTTAAGTGAAGTGGCTCGCCTGGGATTCCTTGGGCCCCTTCTTGGATCTGGGGCTTATGAGACCGTCTCAGGCACAACCGGCAAAAAGATGGTGGCACTACTAGGAACCAGAAGCTACTAGTAGCTAGAAATCATTAGGTTGGAGGCCATTACTACTAGGAACAAGAAACGACTAGTTTTAAGCAGCGAAAAGGTCCATAAATGGAGCCCTCGGAATGAGTTGTCGGGGTTCGCCCACATTGGAGGCACGAATTGAGTGTCCTCATACAGTAATCTATCACTGGGATTTGAAAGTCTGCGACCTCCTCTTGTCTTTTGCAATTTCACCTTCCTTCGCAAGATCAGAGTTTATCTGGGTTGACAACAAGCTGACAGTGCCTTTCCGTGTTGGAGGCGGCACCGCAGTTCTCAAGTCACCCATGTCTGCTCTCAAACTCTTCCCATCCCGCCCCTGGCTATGGGACTTGCAAGTGTGCGATCATAGTACATAATTGGGACCTGTTCTCAATCTTAGGATCATTCATCATTCCATCCTGTGAGCAGATCAGGACTACAAACACAGTATGTGTGGTTGTCCAGGTCCTAGTATTTTTAACCAAGCCTACAGCATTGTTCTGGATCTGTTGCCAGGCCCTGGGTTGGCCTATCAGGATCGCTCCCACAATTAAGCAAATATTGACCCCCTCGTCCACATCCAGCAACCGCGGGGCCGTATTTGGCGTAGGCGAAGCCGCCAAAAGACTGGTCCTGGCAGGAAACCCACGGCACGGTCATGACTGCATGGGCTCTCCAAGAGTCCTTGAGAAGAGTTCCTGACCCCTGACACTGGGGGCGGCGTTTAAGATTGAGGATGAGATGAACACTGGACACAGTAGGGAAGTTGTGTCCTGGACATCCCAGCACTCTTCGAGTCAGAGTGATTTCACAGAAAGCGAAAGACCAAGCTCCATCCATCCTTCAAACATTTTTGCCTGATAGCCAAGCGTAGACTTTCACTCTGGCAAAAGCCCTGGAAACCTGCAGTTTTTCCCCACCTGTGAGGGTTGTTAGGTCTTATGTCAGCTGCCTTTCTCCTCCTCCTTCTCATCCTCCTCCGCGTCCGCCTCCACCTCGTCCTCAACGGCCAGCTCCGGATAGCAGCGTTCCCCTACGGACCTCAACCGCAAGTGCAGGATGGCAGCGTTCCCCGCCAGACCTCAACCACCAGCTCCAATGGCAGTGTTCGCCGCCGGACCTCAGCCGCGAGTTACCGCACGTTCCGCTTAGCAGTGTTCCCCGCCGGACCTCACAACCACACAAGCACAGTCACAAACACACAATCACAAACACACAAACACAACCACAAACACAAAAGCACAATCACAAACACACAAACACAACCACACTGCACAAACACACAACCACAAACACATAAGTAAAAACACACACATACAATCACAAACACACAGCCACAAACGCACAACCACAAACAAAAACACAAACACATCCACAAACACACAACTACAAACACACAGCCACAAGCACAAACACAAGCACACAACCACAAACACACACACAAGTACAATCACAAACGCAAAGCCACAACACACAACCACCAACACACAAGTACAATCACAAATCACAAAGACACAATCACAAACACACAACCACAAACACAAACACAATCACAAACACACAACCACAAAGACACATTTACAGCACACAACCACAGCACAAAACCACAACACACAACCACAGCACAAAACCACAACACACAACCACAATCACAGCACACAACCCGAGGACCCACAAACAAAGTCGAGAACCACAAACCTGACGACCATGGCAACATGCTCCTGACTCCTGACCATGGAATGAAGACAAATGATTGAAATGTCATGGTGGGGATCACTCGAAGTAGAGTACAGTAGTTTGTTCTTTCGGCCATGTTTGTTCCTTGGCGAAGGCATGACCCTGTTTTGGAGAAACCAGAAAAAGACCGGACCGTGCAAAACAACCGCATCAAACAACCTCTTATAGGTTTAGTTTTGGTATATCCCATTTCCAAACAATGATTAGTATGATTATATAGTAAAGGTCTTTCTCGAAATCAAATAAATCAGTGATATCTGTTGCCGACTGTTACAGGACAATTGAATGGGGCGCCTTAGATTTAGTTTATCATGATCGTCATGATCTGAACTTATCATCGATGTCGGCTCCCATGTATCAGTCTTACCCCGTGCAAGACTGAAGCTTCAGCGCTGGTAAGTCCGCTTGCCCGATGGTTGCTGTAAAGGATTTGTCGCCGTGACCCCCAAAGCATGGCAGTTGCAGGTCTTCCGCGCGAAAAACCGATGGTCAGGGAGCTAGCTAAAACAAAGTGCTACATGCGCTTGTGTCAAAACAACAAAACATCATTCCAACTTACTGTATCAACATGCCGTTCACATTCATGCAAACCTACTGCTTTCAGCATGAACAACCTGCCAATTAAATCACTTAGAGTAACCACGCACACCATTAAAAACACACACACAGACACACACGCTCGCCATGAAAAGCCGTGCGCAACAGGGGCGCCCACCTCTTGTGTGGGCGCCCCTCAGGCGCCACCGAAGAGTTGGGTCTCGGTCGCCGTCCTTGAAGAGTTGGGTCTCAATGAGCCCAGCGACCAAAAGGACCTGCAACCAGCCCTCCAAAGGCACCTGCCGGTCGTAGCGGTTCGCGGCAGATGCCCGGAGGAAGTGGATGTGGGGACTGCCCGGAGGAAAAGGATGTGGGGACTGAATCCAGTGAGAGGTGGATTGGATTGGTGGATAAGGTGGATGTGGATTTGATGTGCGGATTGAAGAATCCTAACATGGGATCCTAATGGGGATCCCAACATTGGTGGAACGAGGTGTGAAAGAACTTGCACCCAAATCCGATTCTCACTGATCTTTAAGAAGGAGCTACCTGCCAAGAAAAGTGTTACGATTGAGATCGATTGAGAGCACATCGCAAAGCGGGGATCTTTGCAGGTCGGGAGGGCGACGTTCGAAAGGCACTTGCCCAACAGGACCCAGGAGAAGCAGTCTTTCCGGCGTTTGAGCTGCAAACACCAGCGTTAGGGGTGCTCTTGGGCCATCCCGACCCTTTCTTTACAAGTCAAGGACCCGGCGACCAAAACAAATTGTACACGCAACATGGCCACTCTAGTTTCAATTCGGGCGGTGCAGTGGTTGCAGTGTTTGCTCAAACCAGTTATCAATCTGAGGTTATGTTTTAAGCGACAGAACCAGCAGAACCTTCAACACCAGCGAGACACTCAGGAGTTGGACTCACCAACCAATTCTTGACCACTTTTCCTTTGATTCCCCTGATGTTCACATCTTTTCCTATACTTCAAGACAGAAATGTCAGTCCTTCTGCAAATAAGCCGCTTTGAATGTCTGTGGTCCACGGGCCCAAGTCCGCAGCAACTTGTGGCTCACAAGCTACATCATCTGCTTGGGTGAAGGTTCTTTTTCAGCGACCTTAACAAACAATGTCTGGAGCTTTTGAGATTTCAGACCTCCCAACTAAGAGTTGGAACAAATCTATATAAGTGTTCAGATTCCCCCAATGTTCAGAGTTTTTCAAACGTGATGTCATTCTATAGTTTAGTAGTAACAATCCCAAAATCACCAACTCTTCGCAAACCAATGATGATGTCCTGCCTGCAAGCACTTCAAACGGATGGGTATAGAGACTTGGCTCATTTCCCCCGCATGCATCCCAATGCCATGTGATCTGTTTACCAAATGCCATGTAGCTTGTGGCTCAGTCGGAGCGATCCGAATCCACTCGTTCCGGTTCGTGCTTCGGCCGTCGGTGACCCTCCGAGAGCCACCCGGCACCTTGCTGATGGCGGCCAGCCCAGAAGGCACGTCCGCGAACTTCCTCGGGGCGATTCGTTGGTGTCCAAGGTCGGAGACATGCCCAGAAAACTCCATGTGTGTGTGTGTCACCCCCTGTACCAAAGGGTTCAATGCCACTGTTTCCACCACCACTACTCCACAAGGCAGGGGCGTCAGGCTCGATACACCTACCTGACGCAACGAAGCTCTGGTGTATCGAGGGATGGGTGAACTGATCATCCACCTGTACCTGCTTCAACGGTTGAACAAGCTGTTCCAATCCTCCTTTTTTTGATTCCATGGTGGTTCATGATACTCCCCCACAAACAGGTTTCTCTCAGCAGCCGTCAGCAGACTTGCGCCGCGCCGCCCGAGTGACTGATCGTTTCTGCAGACTTGAACAACAATTTTTTGAAACAACTACAAGTTTTCGGACCTTTCACCATGCAGTTCTGTCACCTTCCTTCTCAGCGTGGGAACTGAGTGTAACTGAGAACCAGTGTCAGAGTGTGTCTCGCTCAGCCGTCCCACTCGGGTGCTGAGTGTGATCCTCCGCAAGGAGGCGCCGTTTCATTCGGGAAATCGTGTAACTGAGCTTTTCCACCTCTCACAGGAATTCACCACTTGACCAGACTTAACTGAATTTACTGCTTCCACGGCCGCGGGGCCAAAAAATGGGATTTGACAAGCCGCCGGGCTTAAAAACGGCATTCATCCCCCTTCAGGCAGGTCTCCCAACCCCCCCCCCACCGCGTTCTTATCCCGACCTATTTAGGGTAACACAGGGAAATGGTACTCGACACACTTGTGTGTCGGTGCCTTTCCCTTTGTTGTCCCTGTTCTAGTCTATCCTACCCGGGCGGTCTAAGACTAAAGTCCCGCTCCCTAACTATTGCATTTAATTCATTTCTGCTAAGTAATCAGTAACTCTAGAGTGCTAGGTATTCAGACACACACATGAACATACACCCCCTCCCTGCCCCCCCGCTTTCCTTCTTGCGCTTTTCGTCGTTTGTTGGGCTTTCTCTCAGGCTTTTTAGGTTGCTCTTGAGGCTCGTTTCCCTACCCCAGTCAAGGGCTAAGTATTCACTTTTTCTACACCTACCTTTCCTTCTTGCCCTCTTAGCGCTGCTCTTTCTGTCTTTCCTTTCTTTTGTTTCTAAGGCTTTTTAGGTGACTATTGAGGTGTTTCACACGAGCGCCGCGAAGCGGCCCCGTGTGTGTGTCACCCCCTGTACCAAAGGGTTCAATGCCACTGTTTCCACCACCACTACTCCACAAGGCAGGGGCGTCAGGCTCGATACACCTACCTGACGCAACGAAGCTCTGGTGTATCGAGGGATGGGTGGACTGATCATCCACCTGTACCTGCTTCAACGGTTGAACAAGCTGTTCCAATCCTCCTTTTTTTGATTCCATGGTGGTTCATGATACTCCCCCACAAACAGGTTTCTCTCAGCAGCCGTCAGCAGACTTGCGCCGCGCCGCCCGAGTGACTGATCGTTTCTGCAGACTTGAACAACAATTTTTTGAAACAACTACAAGTTTTCGGACCTTTCACCATGCAGTTCTGTCACCTTCCTTCTCAGCGAGGGAACTGAATGTAACTGAGAACCAGTGTCAGAGTGTGGAACATATTATAGATCATTAACATTGTTGTATATACTGAGATTGACGCCGGGTCAACCACATAATGTTGATAAATTTATGTATATTATAGGCCAGTCCCATGCAGTGTCGCATGGTGGACACGGCGTGCAGTGTCTGGACTTCTGGAAAAAAGGTGACGATTCAGCCAGCGCCGATGCGGCAGATTGATATCGGGGTTGGAGTTGGTTTGGAAATTATTGAGGATAGTGGAAATGGAGCCAAAGTAAATCCAGATCGGATGATGGACCTGGAAACCCCAGAGAGGAAATGACAGCTGACAATGGATACACTGACTAGCAGACTTTATCAGCTTTCCACCAGCACATGTTCCATGGGAAAAATCAACAAACACAAATCACTCTAATAAACACAGGCCAGTTTATCGGGTTGTTTGCCTGATCTTGCCCAGACCACCTAGCAGTTCCCAAACATAAAGCGTCCTATGGGGCACTGGACCTGTGTCATTCTGTATTTAATTCGTGGCCACGGGAAATTTTGTCACAGATGAAACCATGTGGTCTGCTCATCAGTATCGTCTCCACCTTCACATCTGCTCCAACTGCGAGAACAGAGTGAAATCGTGGTTGTTCCAAACCCGGTATATCGTGTGGGGAGATCAATTTCCCAACTATGTGAATGGGCATGATTCTGCTGCAAAGAGGGAACTTCAACCTCCAACGACCCAAATGCAGCTCATCTCCGACCCAAATGACCGGCTTTGACCGGCCATCTTTATGGGATCGTGCGGCTCCCCCTCGACCTGATGGGATCCAGCGTCAAGTTCTGGGATGGTGACAGGTAGCCGTCGAACTTGCCGAACCTGAGAGTGCCAAGTTCACAGCGCGACCGGTCCAAGTTGGGCCACCCAAAGCTGAACTGTTTCATGGCAAAATTGGGTTGTTTGATTGACGCAGGGCCGCTACCCAACTTTGCTGAGCCAAGGGACATCTCTTGAGTCTACAAGTTTGTGATTGGGCTCGGATTTAATTTAGGATGTTTTTTTGTTTTTCGTGTTTCGTGGCAGGTGCAGTACTTTGTGGACCTTGAAATGCTACTTTGTGGACCTTGAAATGCACATTTCGTGGCAGGCGCAGGACTTTGTCGATGTTGAAGTGCGGATTTCGTGGCAGGCGCAGGACTTTGTGGACGTTGAAGTGCAGATTTGGTGGCAGGTGCAGGCATTTGTGGGACTTGGAGTGCAGATTTCGTGGCAGGCGCAGGACTTTGTAGACCTTGAAATGCATATGTCGTGGCAGTACTTTGTGGACCTTGAAATGCACATTTCGTAGCAGGCGCAGGACTTTGTCGGTGTTGAAGTGCGGATTTCGTGGCAGGTGCAGGACTTTGTGGATGTTGAAGTGCAGATTTGGTGGCAGGTGCAGGACTTTGTGGGGCTTGGAGTGCAGATTTCGTGGCAGGTGCAGTGCTTTGCGGGCCTTGAAGTGCCGATTTCGATTTCGTGGCAGGTGAAGGACTTTGTGGATGTTGAAGTGCAGATAGATAGATAGATAGATAGGAAAGAAAGAAAGAAAGATAGAAAGATAGAAAGATAGATAGATCGAGAGATAGATAAATAGATATAGACAGAAAATTGGATAGGTAGACAGATTTGCATTGGAATAGTGTAGGTGTCAGACTATCACAACAGTTTGGTGCAGTTAGCAGAAAAGCAAAGAGAAAGGTTTCGTGGCAGGCGCGGGTGGCGGAGATGAAGTGCAGATTTCGTGGGGCGGGGGGGGTTGGGGGGGCGCAGCGCCCCCCCCAGCAGCACACCAGATCCAAAGGTGAGCAGCTCTTGCTTGCTTGCTTGCTTGCTTGCTTGCTTGCTTCCTTGTTTGGGTTCTTCTCTGCAAAGCGAATAAAAGGAAAAGCACAACACAACAGACAGATAGACAGACAAACAGATAGATATAGACGGATAGATATAGACAAATATGGACTAGTAGCAAACAGCCACAAAAGCCAAAAGCCACAAAAGCCACAGAAGCCACGAAAGCCACAAAAGCCAGAAGCCACAGAAGCCACAGAAAGCACGAAAGGCACGAAAGCCACGAAGCCACAGAAGCCACGAAAGCCACAAAAGCCAAAAGCCACAGAAGCCACGAAAGCCACGAAGCCACAGAAGCCACAGAAGCCACAGAAGCCACGAAAGCCACAGAAGCCACAGAAGCCACGAAAGCCACAGAAGCCACAGAAGCCACAGAAGCCACGAAAAAACAACAAAAATTCGTTTAAAAAAAACAAAAAAAATCTAAATTAAATGGCCCTCCTTTGTGATTTGACTCATGTTGGTGGGCGTTATGGTTGCAACATTGAGGGGATATGTGTGACAGTGAGGCCATAAAAGTACAACTAGACAACTAGCTCCAGATGCGCCACACAATATTTGGCAACTAGACATCTACCCACAAGTAGGCTCATGTAAAATCCCAGTTTTTGAGTCTTGCTTGAAGCTACCAGTCGGTCCCTGCTTTTGGCGGTGCCTCTGTGGCCATACCACTATGTCACATAAGACAAGCAAGAAGGCGTGCGAGGCATCACCAGGTCTTGTCGCCGCGGGGGATCACATCTACTGGTCGCAGTCCATAGATGTTCATAGGATATCATAGGATCAGGTTCACCTTGCTCCTAGTAGTAAGGCCAGGAGCCCCTAGTAGCGTCCTTGCTCCTAGTAGTAAGGCCAGGAGCCCCTAGTAGCTTCTTGTTACTAGTAGCGATGCCACAACCCCTAGTAGCGTTCTTACTCCTAGTAGTAAGGCCAGGAGCCCCTAGTAGTTTCTTGTTACTAGTAGCGATGCCAGGAGCTCCTAGTAGCGTCCTTGCTCCTAGTAGTAAGGTCAGGAGCCCCTAGTAGTTTCTTGTTACTAGTAGCGATGCCAGGAGCCCCTAGTAGCGTCCTTGCTCCTAGTAGTAAGGCCAGGAGCCCCTAGTAGCTTCTTGTTACTAGTAGCGATGCCAGGAGCCCCTAGTAAGGCCAGGAGCCCCTAGTAGCTTCTTGTTGCTAGTAGCGATGCCAGAAACCCCTAGTAGCGATGCCAGGAGCCCTAGTAGTAAGGCCAGGAGCCCCTAGTAGCTTCTTGTTACTAGTAGCGCTGCCAGGAGCCCCTAGTAGCGTCCTTGCTCCTAGTAGTAAGGCCAGGAGCCCCTAGTAGCTTCATGTTACTAGTAGCGATGCCAGGAGCCGCTAGTAGCGTCCTTGCTCCTAGTAGTAAGGCCAGGAGCCCCTAGTAGCTTCGTGTTACTAGTAGCGATGCCAGGAGCCGCTAGTAGCGTCCTTGCTCCTAGTAGTAAGGCCAGGAGCCCCTAGTAGTTTCTTGTTACTAGTAGCGATGCCAGGAGCCCCTAGTAGCGTCCTTGCTCCTAGTAAGGCGGTTCCTACTTGGGGTTCTCCGGAACTCTTGTGGTCGCTCCGAGCAAGGCTCCCGGTCTGATGGGGGAAACCGACCCCCCCTGGCTCGATCCATCGCTCCCGAGTCGCACCAGCGACTCTCGATCGGACCAGACTGGTCGGACTGGTCCAGCTCCCGGTGTCCAAAGGAAAACACATTGATAAATTAAGCACATTGGATTAAATCCGAGGGTTTAAAATGGTTTGTATTAGTATGTATTTGTTTGTCAAGCTTTGGAAACGACCAAGGCAGTGTTTTTTTCAGGTTTGGCCGCGTCTTCACCTGGCCCATTCCGACCCTGAGGCATCAGCACATCTGGCCACAGCATGCCTCAGCGACGCATGCTGTAAAGCCCCCAAGGAGGTAAGGGAGGTATGGGTCACCAAGACAAAGCATGGTCTGTGGTGGACATCCAAAAATGTCCATTATTTTATAAATTACTATAATACCAAATGAAACATGGCTTCTTCTGAATTGGCAAGGTGATTGGAGGTTGCATTGTTGTTGTTGATTGCTTTGTCAGATATGATCCCCTGCTCTGGTCAATCACAAGGAGTGCCGTGACAACAAGATCCAGTGCGTCCACACTGCAGGATGCTGCAGGACTCATTCATTTGCGCAGCAGATCGGTGTAGCGATGATAACTTTAAAGGAGCCAGAGGGTAAACATCCCAAACACAATGGCCTTCTCGTGCTCATGGTCAGTCGCAAAGCCCCGTGGGAATCTCTAAGAAAACAGGTGCTAGTGATGTGCAAATCAACTGGACAAAACATCTATAATTAGAACTTGATTGAAATTTATTTCACTGTTGCTTTAATTCAACCCCATGGTAAGGGGGTCCTCAATCAACAGTCAACATTAATTACGCAATAGGCAATATTCACATCTACTCACTATTCTGAACGCAATTACTAACTCCAGTTTGGACGTGGCATACAACAGTGAACTGCTGTGGACCTGACTACTCTCACTACCAGGAGTACGACCACGCAGCGCAACAACGGGTGTCCTATACAAAGAACAATTCTCCGAACAAGGGCCATGTCACCGCTGCTACTTTTATCTCCACCACATATTGTGTAGCTACTTATTTTCACATCTGTCAAAATCAAACCCTATACTGCTGCGCAGCAATTTCGGAGTGCATCCCCAAAGAGCTCGCCAACATGAACCAATAGTTCGCGCGGTCTAGGCACCAATGGTGGCGAACATGCAAATCCTGCCGTGCTTCAGCTCCACCGCTCGGCGTCGGTCGAAATCCTTTCGGCGGGCGTGGGGATCCATCGATGGGGTCTGAGAACCTATTTGGTGCGTGGGTTTTAAGGCATGTGTCTTTCCTTTCTTAGGCCTTCAGATTCTTGCAACATGACGTAACACATTGCAAGGCAAATCCACCTGTGCCATCTTTTTTGCCATTGCTATAGTATGCTATGGCTACAGCTATATGTGTTTGATTTCTCAACATGTCTTGCAAACTGAGGCTTCGTATCAGTCCTGCTTGGTGCAGTCGCCCCCGCAGTAGCCTCAGGAGAGCTGGCTGGTCGTTGTGGGCTGGAAACGGCTTAGAAGCGTCAATCTATTGGACGCGGTAGCTACTAGTGCTGCGTTGATGTGGAGATACTCATTCTCTCGACTAACATGGAAGTGGACAACAGGTCCCGGGAAGACCATTTTGCTCTACGAAGACAACATGTTAGTTAGACCATGTTATTGAGTGACAACATCTTGGTGTTTCTTCCAAACAACTCGAACGCCCAGCACATCCCAGCACGTGACGCACTGGCGGAGACCGGAGCTCGAAAGGGGCCGCTCGGAGGAGTCACAGGGGGCCGCTTGGCAGCTAAGGATCGGCCCATCATGATCCATCATGTGTCATTCAACTGAACGCTCAAGCTCTCAGTGGCTGCTCAAGCAGCTGCTTGCAGCTCAAGCGAATGGAACGCCACCAGTGGGCCTTGTGAAAAGGGGTCCTTAGACTCTGGTCGACTCCTTCCAATGTCGACCATTTTGGGCAGTTCTCAAGGACAGCCTTCCAATGCCATGGATGGGACCAGAACTCCACAGCTCAGCATTGATCGCCAAGAGCGACCACTTCACATGGCTGTCAATCTGCAAGCAAAACAGGTAAGTGAAATGCAGGTGTGGCATAAATCAGTTGAGTATTGATTCAGGAATTGATTGCCACACATGCTTGTCTGGTAAAACAAACTTATTGATCTCATGGCCAATGGACAAATAGCACGATATTGAAATCCATATGAACATCAATACAGTTTTTTCTTTTTTAAGGAATTGTCTATTAATCTATTCTTCGGGTTCTAGCTGTGCACATGTCCTTTACAACTTGTTCCGACAATAACGAATGTTGCAAAAGAAAATAACGTGCAAACATTGTTCCCTTTAGAGCATGAAAAACGACCAAAAGTTCATGAACAGCCTACCCCTTCTCGTAAATAGGCTTGTGCTGCAGGCTTCTGACAACCTTCAAATCTCAAGGTTTCGCAAGTGCACCGTCCTCACATTGTTCAAACAGGCTCTTTCCAAAACTGTGCAAAAGCCACCATTTCCACCAAAATTGGGTACTACTTCGTTCCACTGGAATCACACCTCCCACCTCCAGCTGAGACCAAGAGGCCAATGGGATCCCAGAAGAGGAGAGGGTCGCAAGCGCCAATCTCCTCAGCGAACCATTCTGACCAATCCAAGGTGTATTTTTTCGTGAAGGTTTCTGAAGGAAAGGAGGCCGGGCCTTCACTTTCATTTCCGCGTGGGCCTTCCACGGGAAGGTGACACCGGGTCTGAGAATGGTGGGAAGGGTGTGCTTTTTTCTTTCTTGCTCCTTTCCTTTGACCACCAACCACCAGCTACCAGTTCTACAAAAATCAAGCGTACTGTCCCACTCCAGTTGGGCGGGCTCCAGTTTTGCCGATTTATTCTTGTTCCGCTAGTTGGCAGCGTTGTCGGTCCTGTCCCGTGAAAACTTCTGACTGGTGGGTGATAGAAACACCAACAAGTCCCGACATCAAGCAACATTGTTCCAGAACCACCCATCTGGTTGATAGAACCCCCTTGACCATGCATGTTCCAATCACAACCCGAAATGGGTGATGCTAGTTGGGGTGTGATATATCACCCACCCACTGGGTAGTATGGTACGGGTATGGTCGGGTACAAAAACCGCACGCAGCAGTTCGAAGCAGTGATTAAATATGAGAGTCATTGTCATTCCATCAGTCCATTACGTCACTACGTCAATACCCATTGCACTCCAAATTTCTCAAGTTTCATTGTGCACTCAAAGGCAGCTAGAAAACTGCGTGTCAAATTGACTGCCCTTTAAAAAAGAGAGTGGCAGGCTGTGGGAGTGAAGTTTTTTAGAAGATTGAATGTGATTGAAGATATGTGTATACTAGTGTTGTGGCTCATCAGCGTCTAGTGTTAAGTTGCTTTTGAGCCTGGCCTTCTTGTGATGGCAGAGCTAGAAGGTGAGAGTTTGGCAAAACAATTGGGTGTGAGAAGGGTACCTTTACTGCAAAAGCTAAAATGTTCTTTAGACTAAGGTATAGTAAAACTTTGGCATAACCACTCACTAGGGTCAAATCTCATTTTTCTTAGACAATAACTTATATTGTGATGATTGTGAACATTTGATTCTTGTCAAGTCCAATTAATTCCAGAGAGCGGGTGTTGCTGGGGGTGTGAGATTAAAACAACATGATATAAATTAATGTGTTTTACAGTGTTTTATTGCCCTGGGAGTGCTGGGAACTAGGTCAAAACATTGTCTTGTAGGCAGACAGATAGACTTGTTCAAGTAATATTTGGAATAATCATGTCTATATTAAGAAAGCTATGTATAAAAGTTTCTATGCCAAAGGTTGTCCTCTTCATCTCTGAATTTTCTGGATTTTTTACATTAAAACGCTATTTTTGAAAGCCTTGTTGTTCAAAAGCTTTCCTTTAAATCTCTGAGAATATGTATTTCCACATTTAAAAAGCATGTATATAAGCAGTTATTTTAAAGCTTACATGTTCATTTCTGAAAATACTAATTTCTATGTGCAAAACTGCCTTCTACATTGTAAGTGTTGTTTTCCAAGAGCTGTTCCCTAGATTTCTGGGATTGATCACTTCTATATTCAAGACTAATATCCAAGGGTGCATTTCAAAAGCTCTCCCCCAGACCTTTCAAGGATGATTTGTTTCAAGATTATATATAGAAGCTGTGTATTTCACAAGAAAGGATCTCTGTGAATAAGTAGTTCTATGTTGCAAAAACGTTCTATAAACATATATAAAATAAATGTGTGTTGCACAAACTTACCTCCAGATCTCTGGGATTGATCACTTCTATATTGAAAAGCTGTGTTTGAAAGCTTTAATGTTTATAGTGTTCCTCTGGACCTCTGGGAAAGTAGTTTTTCTAGAGGTGTGTGTTTTCTTTAATTTTATGCAATCTAAATATATATATATCTACATCAATATGTTTGTTTGTTTATCTATTTATCTGCCACTTGAAAAAGCAACCCTTTTATGGAACACATAAATACAGACCCCATGGGACAAAACCAAAAACACCTTGAGAAAACACAAAATGTATATTTATGAGAGTCTTGACTGAACCCTCCCACAGAGGACAAACTTCTGAAAACATGTTTTTTTGGTGTGTTTTAGCGTGTTTTCTTCGAGAAGTGCTCACAAAGTGCAGAATCTTCTGCAGAGTGCACTCCTGGCAATGTAGTTTTCTTAACAAAGGTTAACAGAGTGCCCTCCTCGCAGTGTAGTTGTCTTGACAAATCTTAACAGGGTGCCCTCCTGGCAGTGCAGTTTTTCTTGACAAATGTTGACTCAAAAGAACACACATTTGCGGGGAAACTTAACATTTGTCAAGAAAGCTGCACTACCAGGAGAGCATTCTGTGGAAAATTTTGGACCCTGTGGACAAACACCAAAAAAACAAAAAAATCAAAACAAACAAATAGACAAATATATTCAGGCTGGGACCCCCCTTCCACAGAGTCTGGGAATATTGTGTATTTTTTTGTTTTGGTTCCTTGTTTTTTTTGTTTTTTGAAGGTTTTTGGCCTCCCTCGTTTCAAGAGTCTGCAAATATTGCCTTGTCTGCTACCAGGTTCAGGTGACCCAAATGATCATGCATATGGGAGTGCAGTTTATGTAGTAAAATCTAGGCCTATTGCAAATGAAAAGAACCTGAAAAACTGCACTCCCAGGAGCTGCCGTTCTGGTTCTGTTTAAAAAAACATGTCCCCCACCAAATGGTAGAGGTAAAGAGTCTTCCAAATCCTGACAGAGCTCAACGGTTGAATTGGGTGAGTGTAATGTTGACTTTTGATTGGATCTCAACCTCAGAACCCTGGAGATAATTGACCATCCAGGTCGGGGGGGTTCTATTGATCAGCTGTCAACACCCGTTGACTCGTTGACCCTGCTCTCGCTCGCTTCTCGTCAAGCTGCGTTGGAGGCGTCATACGCGCAACGCACCACGGAGGTCCTGCTCATGGTCTAGGACAGTGAAACGCAAATAGGAGCAATATGGCTGTCGGCTGTGGATCAAAACCTGGAGCCACCCTGGTTGACATTCCTGGTAGTCCGTTTTGTTCATATTCTGTGGTCAGCCAAGGTCCCCCGGTTTTCCCAGCCATATTTCTTTATGCGGGTTGTACAAAGTTGTATGTGTTTTTGTTTCATTGGACCTTGCCCTATCGTTTTGCAAGGTTTCATTTCCATTTCCAAGGCTGATTCATGTTTCTATGTTTGCCCTCCGGCCTCTTCGTGGCAAGCAGGTCCGTGGCAAACAGGAACTCACAAACGAACACCAGCAAACCACTTGTATGCACTTCTCAGATGTTTGTCCTATAGAACTTGTGGCAAACCACTTTGCCAAAACATAGACCAATAGCTCTGTGTCCCTGGCGACTCCCTCCGTCGGACTCGAAGATTTCGCAGTCCATCAGTGGTTGGTCGTTACATTTGTTGATAGTCCATGACCACGTTGATAAAGTTCCAAAAATCATAAAAACCTTGAGACCCCTACCCCTTCTTCAAGGTCTTCCTAGGATTGTTTCTCCGCTATTAGGAACGCATAGTATGAAAGCTGAGTTTAAAACTATAATCAGTCAATGGGGACAATCGTGTCGTCCCTCAAATGAGGGATAGAAAACACATCTGAGAAAAGGGGGCAGGTTACGGTAAGTATACTCTGTGCAAATGACATGGGATCCTCCCAAACAGTTTTTGAACATACAAACCGGGATGACATGGTGGAACTTCATGCGACCTGACAGCAAGCATCACCAACGGCTCCTGCCGTTCCGTCCGGCGGACGCGGCTGACATGGCCACTACCCCGACGCCCAGGGCCGCCATGCCGGCGGCCATGCTGGCACTGCCTGGATGGTGTGAGGGGTGTAGGAAGAGTTTTTGAATGGATCATAATGGATCAGTTCATCGATCTAAGAGCTGACTCTTGACATCTCTTGACAACACCACTGGCCATAGAAGAGCCATCAAGATCCGATCGTTGTGTTGAACACGAAGGAGGGCTTGCCCGTTACATTTGTTTGTCCTTGTTGAACAGGGCTTGTTGAGTTTCTTTGTGTAGCTGAAAACGCTTCGACTTTTGACTTATGTCGGATGATTCTTGAATAAGCTTGCTACAAGCTTGCTGGGCGTCTTTTTATTCTTATTCAGATCCAGCAATGACTCTTGCCCAAGCCATGGCTTCATCCCAGAGTGGTGTTGAGGGTGGAGGATGGCGAACTCACAAAACACGCGGACGTGGAAGCCGCAGCCATATCATCCTATCCTCACCTGAGATTTGAGTCGATGATTGTGCTCAAGACCGTCTTTTCTAAACATGTTCATCCACGTGTTTGCCATGAATATCTTGAGGACATGACTTGGATCACAGGGCTCTCCCACTTTCATCCAAGTGGCCTGTAGGTCGTTCCACGGAAGAATTGCCCCTCAAGGCGGACCTGGCGCCCAGCTCTGGCTTGACAAATGCAGTTTCGATTGAGAAGGGATGAGGCTGTGAAGGGTATGAAGCACTTGGTATTTTGGGTCAGCCCACTTTTGAGATGAACAGGAAGTTCGAGAGCTGCCCACGTCATTTTGCGTTTTCGCTTCCAAACTGAGAGCATCCGGGAAAAGCCCGTGCTGAAGGTCCGCGGGCTGTGGAGCTTTGGAAGGAAGAGTATATATATATATATAGTCATCCTGGAGTAGTTTTTGTTAATACTGGAAAATCAAAAGACAATAGGAAACTGGCCATGTTTTTGGATTGGTTTATATTCATTCATTTTCTGTCTACTTCAGGATGGTTGTATGTATGTGTATATATATACACACATAACTGGGGTCGCCCGCTTGGGAGGTGGAACCATTTGAAGCCTTGAAGAAGAATCTCTGACTCCAACTGGGCAGTCGTGTGAATTGCCTCAAGGGTGGCCAGAAGTGTGCCTATGTGCATCATGTCTATAGCTAATAATTATATAGATACATATAGATACATAGTAATTAGATGGACTCAGTGTTTGTTGGAAGAACTTGGTCTGCCGCTGGTGCAAGTGGATTGGAACTTCTCAACCACAGGAATCCACAGCAACCACAATCAAAAAGTAAGTTTGGTGGCCAGTTGGCGTGGTTTTCCATGCCAAACACTCCGTGTATGGGAAAACCATTGACATATGACCTCGGGTCAACACCCCAATGTTGGATCATGTTGGTAAATAATGCTAACTAGTCCACTCCCATGGAGTCATGAGTCATTGGCCACTCCCAGGGAGTCATTGGCTTTGTTTTTGAGAATGTCTGGAAGCCAACGGCCAATCGTGGTCGCCTGCGATCGACCTTGAACATCATGGAGCATGACACGAGCGTGTACGGGGGGAGGACGAGCTTCTAAAAAGCAATGAAGAAAGAGACATTGCAGTCCGCTGCCTCCCAGTCACTTTGAACAACACATAACTCCACCACCAGGAAGCACCTCTGCTGCATGCCGCTCGGCGCGACAAAGGCGGAGGCAGCCATGAGGGCTGCGGCGCCGCTGACGGCGGTGGAGATCTTCGACATGGCAGGCATGACCTCGAGAATGGTGAGTCAGTGCTACAGGCTGGACCATGAACTGCTAAGGCGAACCACAAGGGTATATCAGACTGGTACAATACTAGAATCCTGCAACAAAGCCTGGGCCCAAAAACCAAACAACAAGGATGTGGAACAGCATGCATTAAATTCATCAAATTAAACTGGCTACAAATAGTGTCAAACCTCAATGAATGCATATAGTCATATATAGAGAGAGCACCGTATAACTGGTTCTCAAAAAAGAGACCACCGCCTCTCCATCAACAAAACGCTCCGCCTAACATCGGTCACCTCCGGTCGGTCAAACACTGAGAAGACCGATTGCCGCTCGGCGCGCCGTGTTTGCGCTGTGGCAAACTGGGGAAGAAACTCGTTGGGATGGAACTCTTCAATGAGTCACCCGTAAAAGCACCAGTGGGGCATTCTAAGTAAAGGCCCATGTATCTCGAAAATTAAGATCTCCACATGTGAACAACCGTTTTGATGGCTCACTGCAAGCAAACATTCAAAAAGGCTTACTCGCTGAAGTTTCTGCCCAATGAGCTCCACTTGGAGCACAACAAAAAGACATCCTTTGCTTTGTGGGGAGCAATGCTATGGGTCGAAGGTCCACTACAGGTGAATGCTTTCCGCTTGCATCGATTCTATTCGGTTTGGATCATTTGATCAGTTGAAAAACCCTTTGACGTCCGTTCTCCGCTTCTTCCTTCAAGGAACGACTGCAGCTCGGTGGGTCGTCGAATCAAAAAGATCGGCTGCGGGGGGAGCCGTTTTCTGCGGGGACGCGGAACAAAACTCGCATAGCTGCACCGACCGTAGCGGAAGAGAAACGACTCACAAGAAAACACAGTCCCAAACAGGCTGGTCTACCAAGTGATCGTGGCAGACTGTCTAGAGGAAGCTGTATGCAACACGAATCAACAAATTTACCGTTCTATGGGTCTTCAGAGTTTCAGGTGACAAACTGCACAGGAGAACAAGAACCATAGTGGACCTCAAAAAAAGCCGGATATGCCATAGACTGGAGAATGTCAAAATAGGTTCGTAGATAGAGCCAACATCATCACATAAATGTCAAACAAATAGGTCTGTTAAGGCCGCTGTTTGCTGGATGTGTAATTGCTACAGCTATCTAAAGCTCAAAGGGCCTAAGATGGCACATGTGTTCGGCCCCACGGAAGCGGGACCAATACAAACCACGAGGATGTCCAAAAGCAGAAGGACGAGGAACGACATGGAACGACCATCAAGTTTGGAGGAGCGGCCAAGCTAGACATTGGGTCGCAGTTCCAAAGCGTTGCTCTTGGAGGGCAGGGTGCCCTCTATGCAGGCACTTCGGGTCTAAACACCCCTTTGGAACACTTCTGATAAGTCTGTTATGTTTCTTGGTCTGTGGCTTGTCACATCTCTCCTGTGACTCCGCATCATCGAATGACAGGAGCGTTTGTTTCAACTTCACCATGCAAGTCACAAGGGTTTGTCAACGAGTCGACATCATGCTTTGAAGGCAAACAGGAATGTACACTCTGCCTCATTGACATGGAAACAACCTGTCTCCAAAGGAACATACGTAGTCTTCCAACAGGTCATTGCCCACTTCTACGTTAGTGTGTCAGAATGTATGTATAAATACAAACACCAACTGAAAACTCACAACGGTTCCAACGAATCATGACAGAGACCCATCCAAATCATGAGATGACCAATCCAAATGACTTGGACCTACCAAACTAAATGACTCCACCTCGCTACAGTAGTGATGTCATAACATCTAGATCCTGGACCTAATGCTTGGGAGGCTCCTTTCTACAAAAAGACCCATGAGATAGGACAGATTTTGGAGGTCCTTCTTCCTCTGTGCACTCATCTTCGCATCTGCCTTTCTCTTTAAATGTGAAACCTGTTTCTTTGCACTCGAGGCGATGACGACTTATACAAGATCATTCCATACACTGACCCAACAAGGGCGAACAAGGCAAGTGCAAGGCGCTTCTGCTCCCAACCCTCGCAGTTCACGCCGCTTCTGTCTTTTGTATTCGGCTTCCATCGGCTTCCTTTGGTTTCCTTCGGCTCATTTGAACATCCGTCTCAGTCAGCTTTCCTGACGGTGCACAGAGATTGCCCATTCCTAGACCAGAATCCCAGACTGGGTCCTAGGTGTTTCATGGTGGTACCCCATGGTCCTTTGTGGTGCAGTGTAGCTCGTCAGAGCCTTCCATGCTGTCATATGCCATAAGTCTTAAAAAGGTTTGCTGAAAAAGGTTGTGAAATTCCACTCCCAATGACCACGTCGCTTATAACCATCCCCAAATTAAACACGGATATTGTCGACAAGACTTCAAGACTTTGGAAAACATGTCCAAGACAGGCTTCGCTTTGCCCAATTGGATCTCCGGGTTTTTGGACATGGAAACCAAAAAAAATAATCTGTGATACGCGTCAACAAACACAACAAAGGAAGTGGAAAAGGGTCACGGTCCCGGTGAAGTTGTTTCTATCACAGCAGGGGATCGTCTGCTTCCATCTTATGTCAGAGCGTACTTATTCTTTATTTTAATTTGATCCAATAATAACCTGCAAATCATAGTTGGAAGGTCTGGAATGGCATCCTGAGGCATACAAAAACTAGTAAAACGAACCAACTTTCGCTGTTGGCATTCAGGTTGTCCCTAGACTGCACTTGGGAAGGTAGACAGGAAAACAAGGATTGCAAACTTAAAACCTCGGAGTCCTTAAAGACAAACACAAACTGAAAACTGAAATGAGCCTCCGGAACGTCTCCGCCCCGTGAACATCTCTGCTGCGTTTTTCACCAGTTCAGTTCGGGTGTTCTTCGAAAAAAGACACCTCCGGAAGGAGCAGCCCTCGGTGAGCCGTGCCAGGCCACCAGTGGGCTGGCAAAGCATGACCTTGTCGAGACGGAACATCAAGCGAACCGAGCAAACCGGTCAACACACCAAAGCGGGTTCTCGCCTGAACCGGTCGACGCTCCACCACCGCCGCCACCGCCACCACCACCACCCAAAACGAACGATCAGCAATGTGCATAAAACACCGCAAATACAAATAAAAACCAAAATAGGTAGACATGTTGGGGGGGTACCATATATTTATACAACATATATATGTATTATATATATATATACATATTTAGAATATATACTGTATGTGTTTTTTTTCCGAAGAGTAGATCAATTGATCCTTTGGCCTTGTTCCCCAATCCAACGATCTGGGATCTTCATGGATCTTCCATTGGTGTCTGGTGTCCAGCGCTCCGGTGTCCCGGTCCTATTTGGATGTTCCCACATTTGGATGGTGTCCCCATGTGTCCCCACCATATGGTGTATTGGAAAAGAGGGAGAACCCCCCGATGGCTGGGTAGACTCGGGTAGACTGGTATAACTACTGGTATATATTTCCTGTCTTCCGGGGGGTGGTTGCCTGGTCTCGGTCTGCCGATTTTCGTACACACCCATATTGTCTATGTGGTCCAGTCAGGCGCACGGCGCATGGCAACAAGTGAATCCAACGAGCAGGGAATGCGGACTTTTTTGTGTTGGCTCGTGGGGTGGATGACTGGGATACTTCAACTATTCAGTTGGGATGGTCGAACACGTAGAGTAAAAACCTGCGAAAAAGAATAACAATGTTCATCCAGGTACCCGCACATGCCCAACAACAATCGATTCATGATTCATGGAACTTTGGGTTTTGCAAATGCTTCATTGCAGAACAGGGATATATGTCGATTGAACTGGGAGTATGTAGAGTTTCTGTCCACCAATTTAGTCTAAAAGCCATGAAACAATAGTTTGTGTCGCTTGATGCGCTGGATGAAAAGGGGTTTCCCCATGTAAATGTGGCCACCCAAACCGCCCAATCTTTGGACATGTCGGGTTTGAGTTGTCCCGCAAAATAGTGACCTTCGAGATTCTGGGACTGCTGCTGTTTGAGAGCAGCCTTTGGTTCCCTCATATTAGAAATATTCAAGAAACCTCGGTTGATGGAGAGAGACAAATACACGTTCCAAGTTCCAACCAATGGATGTATTATGGTTAGTGCATTCATACCTCACCCAAACACTTTGTGCATGGCAGATTTTTCAACATAGGCAAGAACATCCGCACATGGAGTGTCGGAATGGAAAGGGAGGCCACTCCTCTTCCTTCCTTGTGTTGGCTGAAAAAACAATTGCCAGGCACCCGACGTTGCAGTTTCCACACAAGACCACTGTCTGCGCGTGGCTGAAGACCGTGGTGATCTGCAGGCGACAGCACACAACTGGGGCGAAGTTCATCACTGGACCAAACAACAACACTGATTGATAGTCATCGCATTGAGCCCGGTTCTTCTGAAAGCAACCAAAGCAACCACATAAACAGCAAAAAATAGAAGTTTTAAAAAAGAAAAAACAACGTATGAAAACAACAACACCAACACAAACAGCAACAACAACAACAACAACAACCACGACAACGACAATGACTCGACAATGACAACATCATCATCGTGACACTGGCCCAAACAAGAGGTGAAGACGGGGTGTTCCATCAGGTTGTCTGTGTAATTTATACTCTGTGTGATCGGCTGCAACTACCCGTAATAATAAATGATGCAAAGGTTTGAAACAAGACATACCGAGATCAGAGCTTCAGGAAAAGGGATTGCTCGTCAAACTCGGTACACCTGTGGCGCCTGTGGCCCCAAGCTCGATATTCGCAAAAGAAAAAATCCACCACCACCACCATCACTACAACAACATAGCAGCAGCAACAACATCGAGAACAGGAGCAACAACATGCTGAAAATGAACATTGGCAAGTAGAACCATGAACTGCTGCCATTGAAACATGTCTTTTGCACAAGACCTGCAGCGGGATCCTTTTAGTTACCCTGCGAAACCATGCGCACATCGTCATCACCAAAGGCGAATCGTCATCTCTGACGTCTCAACTTTTGCACAAATCGCGCAATATTCCCAACACGGACGGCTTGATAATTGATACCGTTGTCTCAGCTTCAAAAGGGAGGTGGGCGTTTGGGACAGAATGAGAGGCGGTGGACGTTTGGTGTTTTTCCTGCTCTGACCCTGAGCGTCGTGATGGAAAAACACCTGGACGTGGGCAGTCGATTGAAAAAGCGCTTCCACTTAAGAGGCTAGAAGGCACTGCCCCAGTTGGTAGCTGTGAAACAAATGTTCAAACGGTGCACTCCGCAAACAATTTCCTGGTCCAAAGTTGGTTCACTTTTGGGCTCTCTTTTAAACCTCAATAAGTCCCTGCACAGCCTCCTCCCTGGTGCAAATCCTGCTTCGATCATCTTCGACACTTCAGGCATTTCAGTAACCTGATCTTTAACACTCTGCCAAGATTCTTGAAATTCGAATTCGAATTGCCTTTCTTGTCATTTATTTTCAAAGTCTGAGCAATCGTCATCTGCATTTGCATTATAGTTTGATCTCGCGCATCGAACCTCTCCGTGGTGCGGCGGATGCTTTGAGCATTCGTAGGAATTGTCCTGGGTAAGTGGCATCTTCTCGAGGAATCACAGGCACATGGTGCGCACATGGCCTCGACTCGAGGCAGCCCACTGTCCTGTATGAGGCCCCAAATGCCCCTTGCTGTTGCATCATTGATGGCCAATTTGAAGATAGAGAGCTCCATGTCACAATGTCCATCCTCTTTGTTGTTGGCAGCGGGCTGTTTTAAGTCAGCGCTGTCCATCCGGCCCTTGCCTCGTTCAGTCCTCCTTCTAGCGGCACCTTCCTCCAAGGTCGGTGAACCACTGCCGCATGTCGGTGAAAGAGGGAAAAGGAAGGGCGCCATCTCTTTGCAAGTCTTGGTGGCGACTGTGGAGGTACGTGGTTGCAGGTCTTCTGGGTCGGATCCTGATGTTTTAGGAAGCATGGTTGGCGGCACAGGGCCAATCGGAGCAAAAGCACGCGGCGAAATGCAAATGTTTCCTCGCTTGCTCTCGTTTGTTTCATCACTGGTTTGCCTTTACGTTTGTTCTCATTTGCGAATTCATCACTTGCTTGCAAGCAAAACAATAATTGTGGCACAAACAAAGTAATTGCAAAGTAATTGCCGTTAAACATTATATATAATATGAAAGGTGTCCGTCTCGCTGCAAAACATTACACAGAAAAACACAAAAGCTCGCAACAAAAACACATGACGCCAAAATGACGCAGAAGTGACCAACAAGTACGTCTTTTGCAGTGTATATACATACAACTGTGCTTCCCTTACACGCTATATCCTAGACTGGGGTGTGGGGAAACCTCCCACTCCCATGTCCATGTCCATACCCCCCTAAGAACTGCAGAACACAAGAATCCCCATTGTGGCCAGTGCCTGAAGGCAGCCGGGGCACTTGACATCCATGAAGAAGCCTCGTTTTCGGATGCTTTTGGACGTCAAAGGCACGTTGCCGTGGTGCTGTGACGGGTAACATGTGTATATAACAGTACTGTATAGTATATTATAACAAGACACCTCACTCACACTGGAGTTCACGTTTTTGCACTGAAATATGGATTCCGATCATTTGATGCGAGCTGATTTACACAAAAACAAACAATTCGAGCACTTGCCTGGGTGAATATCAAACAAACAGTTCTCACCGGATCATACTTTGCGCTTTGAGGTTGCTCCAAGAACAAACCCAAAGACCACTGCAATATACTGAAATCATCTGAAATCGATCCTGGAAACCTGGAAACCTGGCTGCGAGAATGGCTCACGTGACGCTCACAGGGCGTTTTTGTGGTGAATCCGTCCTCGGCCTCAGAAACTGAAAAACATCCGAAAGCGCTACTAGGAGCAAAGGGCATCGCTACTAGGAACAAGGGCGCTACTAGGGGCTCCGGGCCTTACTACTAGGAGCAAGGTTCGCTACTAGTAGCAACCTTGCCCTTCGCCTCTCCGAACGTCCCGTCCTCTCCGATCCAGCCGTCCGATTCGGCGACCGATTCCGCGGCCAGGGTGCTGTTGGGAGACTGAATCATGCGCTTCAGCTTGTGCTTCGACTGGTGCCACGTGTCGACCCGGTGCAACGAACGGTCGAGAAACCCGAACGATTCGGAGTTCTCCGGAGTTCTCGGGGGTTTTGGTTCGCTGCTGCTCGATGGTGATCTGGAGTCAAGGGAAGTCATGCGCGAACTCCTTTCAGCGGGAAAACCTTTGGATGAGATTTGGATGTTCATTGTAAATTTATGATGGAAAGCATCTAATACCATAATAAGAACGTATAAATCCTTATAATATCATCATAATATAATATTCTTGATCTGACTGTGGAAGCTCCCTTATGACTCTGCATGGAGCATGTCCATTTGTCCAAAGCGCATTAATCGATCCTTGGCAAATCCTCAGCGATGCGGGAGAACTGGTCTATCTATTATCCGTTGCTCGCCTTTTTCGTTGGATTGAGAATGTTGAGAGTAGATGGCACTGAGCACCCCAATGTCGGTGGTTGGAACCATATTAACCCCAAGACGGGGTGCCACACTGGGTGCCATCTACTCATCTACTCTGAAACCGCTCGATCGATGGGTTGGAAGCCTCCTCCATCCGGGAAAAGCTCCCGGGAGAGCGGTGACGTGTTACCTCCCGCCTTCTCCTCTTTGGCATCGGGGTTCAGTAGGTCGATGTCCATGGCTGCGTTTCCAGGAGCCTGGGGTGTGTGACATTCATAAACCTAACCCATTTAATTTCTTAATTTGGATTGAAAAACCTCTTCAAATGGGTTATATGGGGTTATTAACCCAGAGTCTACATTACTTGTCCTCTATACTGTAAATGATTTGATGCCGGAGCAGTGAACCATTCCATTTCTCAGGATCTTCCCAGTTCAAATCAAATCAGGTTTTTTGGTTGGCAGGTGTGTTGAAGGTATGCGGAATGGACTCAAATCCTTCCTCTTTTATCTGGACCTGTATCGATGCCCAGTTTTGATGCTAAATCCTTGATGTGGAAGGGTCTCCGGCATTTTCAGCCTGGATTTCTATCAGAAGCAAAGCGCAACCCAGTATTATACACTCCCAGAAATAATAATGAAGCGGAAAAATGGTCCCTTGGACCACAATTTTCCTCTACAAACAGGTGGCTTTCCACTTATTATGAGTTCCAGGAGTGTGTGTTAGTCTTTTGATGTCTTTTGAGCCCAAAACCAGCATGCTTTGCTGCGTTGCTGGCCATCCACTTGGGCGTTTATGACTCCAAATTGGAATCCAAGAAAAAAAGTCTCCAGTTCGCATTATGTCAATCCATTCATTAGAGGGTGGTGGTTTCTCCTTTTTGGTGAATCCTCAACACGTCCTCTCCGCCAGTTTCTTTTTTGTCATCTGGGCTCTATATTTTGTCTTTATCTATTCTTGCTACAGGTCTTTCTCAACCACCCTTTGCCGCTGATCCGACTGGGGTCATCTGTGGCCACAGAGTCTTCCAAGCTCCAACCTCCCGGTCTTCACCTCCAAGCTCCAACACTTGGGACCGGGGTCCACCCCGCGCCCACCCGCGCCCAGCATTCTCTGAGTCTCCAACCGAGATCCCTTCCGTCCGACACACCGCTTTGAGCCACGAAAAAAGGGCCGCAGTGGTTCGATGATCAGCGTAGCTCAAAACCATGATGTGCTTTTTTTGCAGGACCAGACTCCCCCAAGGGGGCACAAAGGCCTATCAATTCATAGTCATCATCTATTGGTTGGGGATCGATGTCAATGAGTCATCCATCATATGCTAAAGGTTTTTTGCTTCAATTGAGGAGCCCGAACCCTGAGAATGGCCTCAAACCGGTCCGTGCGCTTCGTCGTGGAAACATCAGGTGGATTCCGTGGAAATGATCCAGTGGAGCAGATTGATGGGGAAATCCAGTCAACAAGGAAACTGGGTCACATCTTTAGTTCATATTCCCATGTAGATGCACACGGTGACGCTCTGTAACCTCTAGGGGCCTTCCCGGGATCTACTTTGGTTCCCCTCCACTTCCACGAATCCCATAAAACCTATCGTGGCCGGGTCGCCAAACGTTCGATTGGATCGATCCAGGAAGAGGAAATAGGAACAAGAAGCTACTAGGGGCTCCTGGCATCGCTAGATTCCACTATGTTCCACTCCAATCAATGCCTCGGGCGGACGAACCTCCATGTTGACTACTGTGAGACCTGAAGTAAACTCTTTGGAATCAAAGAAAAACCGAAAGCCGGTCTTGTTACAGTTTATGAACTGGACAATTCAAATCAGGCCTTGGAACCAAAACAACTCAGTTGGAGAGATCCAAACAACAAAAAACATGGAAGAATTGAAGATGGATCCCACCATGGGACCAATCAAGCCTAAGGTTTGTCATATCAAACTGATCAATCTGGAAGAGCCCTAAAATAGAAGTATCTAGAGGCTAACCCAGGCTACTGCAACTAACTCTTGTTGTCAAAACAACAAGCCCAAACTTGTGCTTCACTCTGCTCAACTCGCTTCAAAACCATCTCTCTACAGGCTAGGACCACACACAAAAGTATGTACCCCAAAACCAAAGGTCTCAAATAGATCCAACCATGCAATACTCAAACAACACCAAATCAACTGCCTTTTCCAACATCAGAGCGAAGCCTCCAGCCTGAGATACACCGCCTTTTTCTCCTGCCGGGGAACGTCTGACAAGACCTGCCGCAGAGCCAGCCGCAGCGCACGCAGCACACACGGCACACGCACAGCAAGGGACTCTAGAAACCCACAAACAAGGTGGTTTAATGCTTAATGTCCTGAAAGGTCCAGTTCTTCAACATTAAACGCAAAACACACTGCAAAACACCTATACGCTTAAAAGGCAGCAATCAGGTGCATCAGGCAAACATTTAGGGTGTTGTAGTATCAACACTTGCCTTTCTTCCCTGATTTGGTTGCGTTCGGGGGTGCAAGTCTGCGAGAAGCAACAGCGCATGCATCCAAGACATTCCCACCAACAAAAAACAAGGCACAAAAGTCGAACCAAAGGACGCCAAAACTTGTCGCAAAGGACCACAAGGTTCTGTACTGGGACTGCTTTTTTGTTGGGGCATGCAGGGAATCGTTTCCGCGACGAATATCCCTACAAAACCAATGTTCTCCGCTGTGAGTACCTCAGCTGTTACTTCCTATTGGTTGAGGCATTGTCCATCATTGACTGTCTGAGGATGTCATAGATAGGCACTGCTTCATCAACAGAAAGAACAATCAACATGTATATGGTTCAAGTCTACTGTCACAGCCAGAATCCGCCACATACTGCCACACAATATCACACAATCATGCAACAAAACGGTCGTGTTACACGCACTTCTCCACCTTCTCCACTTCCCCAAACCCTTCCGGGTTGAGAAACTCGGACCAACCCTCACATGACTCAGTAGCGTCACACGACTCCGTAGCGTCACGTTCGTTGGACAGCCTGTCTCCCGAAAATAATCGAAGCACCGGCAAATTCGCGGGCCTGGTTACAAAGATGGTCTGAACAAGAAAACACTAAAGGAATTCTGTGAGGGGCCGTTGGAGCAATATTTGTTGTTTAATGAACTTGAGAAGAGGGATACACGAAAGGTAGGACAGCGGGAGGAAAATAAGCATGTAAAATATGCAGTGTGTTGTTGATGGAGTCGAATCAAACGTCAACTTGAGAATGGGGGAAAAGACCAAAGTTCGATATATACATAACATATATAGTGATATGATAATCCTCAACGACAAGAAGCACTAAAAACAGCATATCATGTCTCTGCATGGATTCAAACACTGCCCCAAGCTTCGAGCGCTCAACACCAAATAACCATCGAGGTGTCGAGGTGATCCACTTCGGGATGAAGCGGTCAAAGGGACACCAAATAAGAGGTGTCGAGGTGATCCACTTCGGGATGAAGCGGTCAGAGGGGGGGGGTCTGAATTGAAAAATCAATTCCAAGGGGGGGGAAGGGGGGGGTTGAATTGAACTATCAATTATTAGATTAGATCCGGAGGAGCCCACACTTGTTTCGCAAGACAAACTCAAGGTATCCCCTCAAAGGCTACCTTTCGTGATATGAACATTAATCTGGCGGTGCAGGAGTGGGTCAAAATGATTCCAATTGATCCCATACTTGTTCAAAAGTGTGTCAGAATGGCCCAACCATGCTTCTCAGGGGGCTCTGGCCCAAGTGGGAACCTCTGCCAAGTCATCCGACTTTGGGCTCCAGATCCGGTGAGCCCAAAGAAGCAGGACTGCCATCGGGTTGCTAAGGATGTTTGGATGAAAACGTCGTGACAGTCGGCACAGTTGACCCTTCGCCTGTTGCATCCACCCTTCGCTCACCTCAAATCCTGCAAGCACTTCTGGTAGCCACGGGCCCGCAGGAACCTGCCGATGTGGATGCGACAGGACCGTTGGGATGATCAATACTCTCCTGAAAAAATGGAATGACCATACGCATCATACGGCCATACGAGCCTGGGGGGGGTTCCTGCGCGAATATCAATCCATGGACCCCAATGGATATCATGTATTTGATCATCCCACATGCTCAAGATGTACTTGGCTTGCATGGTCCACCCTTTGCATCCTCCCATTGTTTGTATTTTTGGTACTCAGAAGTTGCCAGCTGAATTGTCACAACTTGGATCTGCTCCCTGGACAGTTCCTTGGCTGTTGAGTCATGGCCCTACAATCCTAGTTTCTGATTCAAAAGGCTACAAGGTAGTCCTTGCTGGCGCTAAGGAGTGTCTCTTGCCCTGCAGTGTTCACAGAGCCTTGTGCATCGTTGTTAGATGTTTTATGATGTGTTTGTTTTGAGCTTTCTCAGTGATGTCCAAATCGTGTTAATAATTTGTACAAGAACTCAGGTGATGAATTAGATGTTAATCGATGAACGATCAAGCTGAGGACACGTCTGTCTTGCCAAAAACTATCAATCAAATTCCAAGCCCAGCTCCTGGTAGCCTGACATTGATACCATTGTTGTCAATTGTTATTTGTTCCGTGGTGGTGCATACTTGAGAACACCCAAGCAATCCTCAAACCATGTTGTTTCCCTTTTTGACCGTAGTCCTTGTTTGGTGCGACACATGCCTCCCCTATAAATCATGCTGAAAATGGCCACCTTTGCCAAACAATGTGATATCATGTGAATTTTCCGTTTTTGCAATGTTATATATTTATATAGCATATCATATATATACATACAAATGAACATGCTTGAACAATGTGAAACGGACCCAAAGCGTATAAGTCATCATCTTCGAGCGGAGCGCGGTGTTAATGACGTTGACGTTTCATTGTCGCAGGCGCCTTTTTCAGAATCCTGGGGCCTCACAGTTCGCTGCTAAGTACAGCAGCTTGGATGTCCTGTTTACAAACCTTTGGACACACACCCTCGACATCCGCAGCTAATGTGAGCAGTTGGGGCCTCAACTGGCTCACAAAATCGCCCTAGATTGGAATGGCTCTATATAAACAATTTTACCCTCAGTTGGCTAGCTATGCTACGCTACTAAAGGTTCGAATGAAAATCCCTCCAGTGAGCCACCAAAGGTATGCTGCATTGGTGGGCCATTCCATGGTTTCTTTCCTGCGGTTGGCCCACAACAGGTATGCTACATTGGAGCGGCTCCTTCCTTCTCTAAATGTTCCCCTCTACCTCGGAGGCAGCTACTTCTATGAATTTTACCCTCAGGTGGTATGCTCTTGAAGGTCTGCATTTGTTCCTGTCTTCATGGCAGGCACAGCAGTCGTTAAGCAGCCCCCGCTATATTTAAAAAGAAAACATGGCTGGGAGCCTTGATGCCCTTCTTGCTATTGATTCATCATAGAACATGGAACATGTCTGCAGTCTGAAGTAGCATGATAAAGGTGCTGCAACAAAGCTGGCCCCATGAGCCGCTTCATTAAATTTGCAAGTTAAAAAGTGATGTTTAGTTTTCTCTGTGGCGGAAATATAAGGAACCCTGGGAAATAGCTTTAAATATCGTAGAGGTTGTCGGTGCGGTGCAGCATGGTGTGCAGTGCAGCATGGTCGACATTAAAAAACGATCTGCTTCGTGGAAAGCGCTGCAACTGGAAGCATTAGTGCAGATTTCATGGCGCTGGCCTGGCCCCAGAGGGAACCAAAACTTTAAAAAGCAAAAGCAAATAGACTGAAAAGCAAATCAAGCAAAAGCAAAGGAAAACACCAAAAGCAAAGAAGCAACAAAAGCAATAAAAGGCAGCAAACGCAAACACGCAAAACCATACGAAAACTAAACAAGAAAAAAATAAAGCACAAACACAAAATATGTAATCTTAAAAACCAAAAAACATGTCCATCCTCAATTTGGGGGACCGTGGTTTCTGCAACACCTTCACAGGCGGCACCTGGCATTGCGGTCAGAAATGAACTCCCCCACGGCTTCAGGATCCTGGGCACGGCATGGTCTGGCACCCACTTGGCACTTGGACAAAAACAGCCATCAATGAGGCATGAAAACATAGAAGAAGAGTGGTGACTCAAACAATCCAATTGGTGGAGAGAAAGACCTCAATTCAGGTTGTGATTGACTTGATGTGTGCAACACATTCTATGTACTTTGGAAGTGAGGAGAACCTTCAACTGTACTGGCTCCATTTTCCAAGCCTCTTGTGTCTGTATGTACTGGTTTTGAAGGTTCTCCCCAGCTCCTCACTTTCACAATTCCTGCTGGCAGTATGTGGCTGAACAGTAAGAAGTGAATGGGGGATACTGGCTGATGTCAGAGTAAAAAGTTGATGGAAAAAAATAACATGAAAATCCCTACTGACTGGAAGATCCTTCCTATTTCATAGTGGGGGTAGTCCTGACTTGGTGAAGAACATGGTTGGCTCAGAATGGGCACCCAAACATTGGAACAGTGGAACGGACCTGGTCCGGTATGATGTGGATCCCCATGGATTCAAACAGCAGAACCCTTAGTGGACATGCTGATTTATCTGCACATGATCTATTCTGGAGGTTCCCTAGTTTTGAGACAAGGGATCAAAACCACAAACCTCAAGCCAGGTGTTTGGTGCCCAGTAGTGCATATAGTAGTGCATATAGTATATATATATACTCTGTTGTTTGAAACATCATGTGCAGGTATAAAGTTGCCCGAATAGCTCAAAATCAAGTTGAGCAGCATTCAAGTTATATATATATATATATGTTTGCATGTTTTTGCTTATTATTGGATTGTGCAGTTTCTGAAAACATGTTGCCCAAAGACCCATAGCCATAGACATCCAATTCACTAGGACAAGCATTTATTGTCACCTTACGCAATCGCATACCCAGATCTCTGTTATCAGCTGTGCACCATGGTCTGCATACTGCATACCGACCCTCAGAAAGAAATCTGACGGCAGCGGACATCGCAGGTTTCACCCAGTTTTCCTGTCCGCTTCGTCGTCGACGTGACGCTGCGTCCCTTTTCAGTGCTTCGATGTCATGGAGTCATTGGCACCCGACCCCTTAACCTTGGTAGCTTGCTCTATGATGTTCTCCCAAACGTCGTCTATTCTTTTCGTCCTCGAGAGGTGCGAAAAAGACCCGGTTTCTACAGTAGGACCCACCCAATTTCGGTGCTGAAACTGTGCGACCTCCTGGAGAGGGGATCTGATCTAATGACATCCGTCGGAGAAAACCCCAATGAAGCCGACCAATCTGTACTGTTCTCACACGACTCCGTCAACCTCCCCCCAAAGGAATACAGAACGTGTCAAGGACTGTGTCAAGGTGGTTCACCCACCTCGTTTCCTTCAGTCAACTTTCAGGTGCTGCTGAACCCTGCCGAGACGGGGCACGTCGAAGGTTGCCGTGCCCGGCACGCGGAAGGAGGCCAGGGCAGCGGAGACCTCCTCGGCGGCCAAGGATGGAAGCAATGTCTGCTGCTTCGACCATTTGCCAAATGATCCATTGCTCGACCATGCGTCTGTTTTTTCCTTCCAAAAGCCGAAACCGAACCGTTCCCATTGGATCCCTCTTGTTCGCTCCTCCTCCCTCAGGAGGTGAAAGGCCGCCCAAGGAGCGCGGTTCACGAAGTCCGCGGCATCCGATCCAACCTCTGCGGCTTCGAACGGTCGGACCGTTCCACACCCGGGTGGGACCCGTTATAGGGACGGTCGCCACCGGCCGAATCCACGGATCAAACGCCAAGTACCGAAAGCCTTGTACAAGGGAAAAAAAAGCTTGAGATGGGGGTGGGGATGCCAGGTCACCAGCTTTGATCTCATGAATCTGAATCTCAGTCTTCCCAACAGTGGTAACACTTTGTTCGTTGCTGGACGTTATCGGCTAACTCAAAGTGTTTCAGGAGTCGACCAAAATCACGAGTCCGTGTTCTATGACCAAAATCAATTTAAAGTCCCAGGGATTGAAATCCCTCCCGTGTCCTCTCTCTCGCACCATCGTCTCAGGCCGCTGACGGAGTCGCCGAAGCGGAACTGTGGATGAAAGGTGGCCATTTGCACCTCTCACGTCCCGTCACACCACCGGTGGTGACGAGGACCAGTGAAAAGTGAGGGAGACGAGGACCAGGCGAGGGAAGCTGGGTTGGGCTGGATCTAAATCACTTGTGTGTTTTTGGGGGGACATCGTGACATATCGTGACATCACGCGAATTTCCCGCCCAGCTGCCCAGTGCCTTGTGAATTGTTTAGGCACTTCAACAAGCCGAAAACCTCACCCTGAAAGGTCGATATAGTGTTCATCCAGCTCCTATTGGGTAGTTCCATATAGTTCCAGAGTCCAATGGGCGGCGCTGCTTCAAAGCAAGCTATGGCACAACAAAAAGACACTGGCTGCTTCAATGAGGCATGATGCGCATTCTCCTTTCCATGGCAGCACACAGCAGCACTAGTGAGCACTGGGTGTATGTGAAGTGGTTCCTGATTTCTGGTGGTCTGAAGGGCACTTAGCTTGTCATCCGCATGGCCGTGCAAGACCTCAGGCGGAGTGAGCGGAGTGACATCCCGCAGCGGTGATCCTTCCGTTCGCCCTGTTGGTGTCTGAAATGCCCGAAGGATTGCTGTCATTCTCTTGACATGTTCGTGCATCCAGTATGGGCTCTCTCAAAGGTGCCGACATCTTCGCAGATTCATGTTTCTCCTTCATCACCTCTGCAGAACAGAATAGGATCACCGTTACGCCAATGAATCTTTGCTCGGAGTCGTTCCCAGCTGCTGAATCGCCGTTCAGCCGCTGCGCAAAGAGCTTTCTGAAGCGATGTCCGGATCGGTCCGGATCCAGTCAGTCACCCAGGTAGTGCAAAGTGCGGCCCGCTCTGCAAGGGCTCTGGGACTGGCAATGTTGTCAACCCTCTTCCTTACAAAGGTAGGTCCCAACGCGCAGGGTCAGCGCAATTCAAGGCAACAGTTCTGAAGTGTAACTGCATACACTGAGTGTCACGCAAGTTGACACAACTCCTGCAGAAGCACGTGTGCCTCTGAGTCTTAAACTCCAAAGGAAGAGGTGGCAAGACTCTGGCAAAACCATGCCGGTGCCAGAGTAATTGTGATTGGTTCTACTTTCGTCTCATCTGCTTTTGTTCGTTCGATTGTGAGGGCGGTGCCCTGGGGATTTGACCGCGTTACCACAGTTTCTCTGTGTTGGATTGGGGCACGGTGCTCAAATGGGCCATGAGACCATCAGACAGTGGTCTTTTTGTCACCTGTACAGGGAAATGATCACCAACTGAGACGAATCAAGGTTCTGTGTCCGGGATGAAAATAGATCCACCATGTCCGGGAGATGCATACCTACGTACTGTACTTCTTAGCTCACGGAGCACGAAGAGTATGGGACTTGGAGGATCGCCTCAGCATCCTGTTGCGTGGGACGGTCAAGTGGCTGGGCACCGACGAAGAAAAACACGTCCCCATTTGGGCCACCCGAAGCAAAAACTTTGCTCTTGATGAATTTGGAGAGAACCTAGTAGTAAGGGGACGCTACTAGGAGCAAAGGGCATCGCTACTAGGAGCAAGGACGCTACTATGGGCTCCTGGCCTTACTACTAGGAGCAAGAAGCTATTAGAAAGAAAAAGTGAGGAGCAAAGGGCATTGCTACTAGGAGCAAGAAGTAGGGGCTCCTGGCATCGCTACTAGGATCAAGGACGCTATTAGGGGCTCCTGGCATCACTAGCAGGGGGTGAGGCAAAAAGCGAACCCGAGTTTCCCCACCCCCTGTCTTAGACAGTGGGGTCTCTTCAGTCCCATCTGGGTCTCTTCTGCGGCGCCTGGCCATTGAGGTTCAGCTCGGTAAAGGCTTCTTCCAGCCAGGCACACAGCTCCAAGTAGACCTGCGCCATGATCGCTTAATGTACGCCATGGGTTTTAGATGGTTTTAGCATCTTCTACCCCCCTACACCCCCCAAAATTACAGTAATATGAAACCTGATGGCATGGTTTCACAAACCAGTGGTTTTCAGATTCCTTGTGGGTCTCTGCCAGGGTGTACATGCGCACGAACACTCCAACTCGGGGGGTCGATCGGACTCGACTCGACTCCGAACGTGGTTGCTATCTCCATGGGGCACCGGGCACCGGGTCAAGGGGTCAAGTGGTCTAAACATGTCAGGCAGTACCTAAACCAGTCCATCACTTGCAACAAATGCATCCTCTCAGTCTCGACAATTTCTGGAGGTGAGGCACGTCTGTAAAACGAGGACGGTCACGAAAACCACCCATACTAGCTTCTTTAGTTGAGCAAATAGATCATCTACTAGTTGAGCATATCGGTGCGTGTGGATGACTTCGGGGGTGTCTCGGTCACACAGTGGTTGCTTTGATGCAACAGTTTACACTGGCTGACCCTATTGAGAATACCTGCCAAGCAATGCCCCATGATTCCTCATGATCAGATTTTACCCTA